ATAGGGAAGATAGAAATTCTCATTTCAGCTTAAGTTCACAGAAATCAAAGACCTACTGGATTCAAATCAAAGTGTATTGTGTTAATTATCAGGCCTGACATGACTGAACTACTTGGTTTTTTCGCTGATGGCCATGTTTTGATGTTTAGAGAGAATGCAGTGGGTCACCATTAAGAGTACAGGGACTGATAAAGCTTGGGTCACCACTGCCTCGACACTCCTTGAGAAAAACATTTGATGTGGCTAGCCGTACCAGACAGGCAAATTGACAATCTACTTCAGAGAAAGTACATTTATTTTATTTGTATATACATTTATTTTCTAGCACTAATGAAGAGGACAACAGTCTGCCTTAATTTAGAGCATTGTTGAAGAGGACATTACAAATTATCCTCCTTTATTTCATTTGTGTAATTTGACATTGGAAACTGATTCCTTTTGTAGAGAAATATTAATTCATATCTGATATAGACCAAATGACTGTAATTATCCTAAAACTGAACATTTACATTTGAAGACCATGGATCTGAATGCCTTCTCTCATAACCTGTCTATATTGTTATTAACATCACCTACTAAACCTTCCCCAGGACTGTATTAGTATTTTCCAATACAGCATCTGTTTGGCCCTTGATCTCAACTTGAAACAGTATATAACAGTACATCTGTGATACAAAAATTGAAATGTAACATTGTGTTAACCATTTAACCTCAACACCTGTTCTGTAATTGATACAGTGCTAATTCAGTGTGTTTATTTAAAAACTTGAGGAGGCTATTCCACATCCTTCTTATGTAAATATAAAATGGATGTTTCGTAAGATTGACAGATGTATTTTTGGTTTGACCTTTCCTTTGAGATTCATTTCTGCCACATCTTTAGAAAATGACAGAATGTAAAAAAGCGTAATGACACACCTTGAAGTATTTTCCTATAACCAACAACATAATTGTCCTTACGGTGTTATTGACAGTCACATTTCCTGGCAGTAATTCTATATTAGTATAATTTTGTCACGTATAGTCTTGTACATTTACCTCTAATGACTCAATTATCAGTTTATGTTGTTTCTTTGTATTAAAATTTACCAAATTTCATCTCCCAGAAAGGTCACTTTGCCATTTTAATATGACTGAAGCTTTAAAACCACCTACCAGTGTAACGATGTGATTATATTAAAACAATTGGATCCAAGTGTAGAATGATGTTATATGCATGTCTTTATTTCTATAATGTACTTCATCTACCATGGAGGTCTTTACAAAGATACATCAGAATTTCAATATTGATTGTGTTGACAAACACTCTGGAAATTACTCCTTACTCCTTAGATTGACCCGATCACAGATGTCACCTGATTGTGAACTGTAAAATACTTCTACATTAAAACATCAATAGGCAAAGCAATTACAAGCAGATGTTAAAAATATACTACAAGATGTTTTCTTCCTCACACAGGTATGGTGATATTTGTTCATCATAAAGACAGTATATTCAGAAGTTGGAAATGAGATAAGAACGATGTCCAAAACTAAGAAAATGAGAAAAATTAACAGAGTAAAAATATAAGGTTTCAAGGTCAAACAAGGACAGCTGTATTAACTCTGGTAACATTGAAACAGACGTGTATACATATATCTGATGTTCTTTTTTTTCTTTCCCAAACTGATCAGATGAATTATGGAATGATTCCACTTCCATGTTTAACATTGATTTTGACTAATTTTCTGCTGGATTTCTATATTTCTGGCCCCTATAGCACCACTGAAGAGTCTTAGAAGTAAGCTGACACCCTCATAATCAACAAGGTTTATAGCAGACACTGACTCAAGAAACAAACCACACAATATTCATGTGCTTCGGTGTGACTTAAACCTCTGGTCTCTTGACTTCTTTTTTAATGCTGACAAACTTTATGTTCTTAATGTGAACAAAAAAAAATTGTTCATCATTTAAAAAACCTTTTAGACCTACTGACCTTGACCTTTGCCCAGTAACTTGATCTCTTCAACACCATTACCTTGACCCTTAGTCAGTTGACTCTTTGATTCCAACCACCTATCATAACAAAATGTTCCTCAGTGAAAAGATACCAAACTTTACCTTGACATCTGACCCAGTGACCTTGATGTCTTTGATCAAATGAAGATGACCTCTAGTCATTTGACACAATGATAAATTCCTCCAAACGTTGCAATATAATGTCACAACTAATTATTAAAGGGCACCTGTGTTTTTGTTATGGGGCCTTAATAATGATGTGGTCTTATTCATTATTTAGCATATATACTGTATCAATTGATATTAATTCATGCAAAAAGTTTATTTCTATGTCTTGTTCAGTCCTTTTATATCCATTTTATCTGGCATCCACTTGTAAGACAACATTTTAACTGTAATGATCTGCTTTTAAGATAATGAGTTGTTCTGATAACAACTAGGGTCAAAACAGGTTTCTTCTGGTAGATAGCTTACTTAATGTATTAAGACAGGACTAACAACCTTCAATTTCAGTTTTATATGGCAACATGCTGGGATATTGGAATAAAAATTTTAATTTTTATGATTGTGAAACAAACAGGTTCTTTTGATCACTTGTAAATTTTAAATGAGAACTAGCCGATTTGAACGATTCCATAGAAAACTTGTTTAGTATATCTTGATGAAGTTCAGTCACCATGACTTTGTATTGTTAATATGCTGATATTGGTTATCAAACCCATAATAATGTGTTTCTATAAACATCTGTTGTAGTCTTTAGGACTTTTTATTATCGAGATCCAGTAAAGCTTTTTATGGTGCATCACCACAGAAAGTATAGGAAAGTAATATATGTTTGCTTTGTGGTTGTTTTGTGGTTTGTAGCAGTAATTACTGGAAGATATGATGTTAATGACTAGTATGGGAGGGGTATATATATCTCAAACAGACAAGGAACAGAAGATTCAAAATGCAAGTTTGCATGTACTGGAGATTTATTGGCATAGTATACATACAAGTGGTGTTTGACCCATGACTTGCATACATATCATATCACAAACAGACATTAAACTGTCTTTACATGCATTACACGTTCACACAAAAACACCTTATCAGATCGCTCACACAGAAATACTATATCAGATATGTCAATTTTTTTCAATAGATTATGTCATCTACAGCACAGTATGATTCAATCAACAACCTTTATGAACTAAACAGTGAAATATGATCACTTTTTCTGAGATTTGTCAGTTTATTTAGTGTCCCTGTAAGAGTAGAGTAGGATTGATCAGTAGAGCATGAAGGTCTGGAAACAGATGGTTTCTCATTCCTCTACACATTCCTTCTACACATGACATCCCAGGGTCAAGGGAGTTTACAGCTTGTTAATTTTTTTTCCCAAATCCACAGAGTTACTAAGGTTTGGGGCTATTAACAGGATCTGCAATAGTTTTCAAAGGGAAGGTCCTAGTACAAAACGAATATATGTAGTGAAACATCAGGAACAGACAGCCAGACAACACCTTCGGTAGATTGAGGACGACACACCTAGTGTGTCGAAACATGTAAACCATTAAACTTGACCTAATCTACCGAAGGTGTTGTCTGGCTGTCTGTTCCTGGTGTTTCACTACTTACGTTTTTGGAGCCGGACTCGGTATTCCGTGCGGAATCCGCCTTGGGTAGACTACTGAAATTACTGAACCATTATCCCGGATATTGGATCTCTTTTCTTTTGTATTGTAAAACGAACATATGTTTAGGGTGTGAGAGGTAGAGTGTACCAGTACTCGGGCTACTAAGATTTAGAAGCCTGGTACATCAGTACACAGAATACTGAGGTTTAGGGCCCTTACAGGTACAGAGTCCCAGTACACAGGGTACTAAGGTTTAGGGGTCCCTGACAGGTACTCTGTCCCATTACACAGGTTATTAAGGTTTAGGTACGCCACACGGTATCCCAGTATTCAGAGTTATTACTAATTGTCCAACCATATATTGTTCTTTATTGAGCTAATTATGAAATTTGTAACTTTAGAAATAGACAATAGGGGCAGACATCCATATAGCTCCTAAAGTGATCACAAGAGTCATCACAGAATGGTCTTACATTGTGGCTTACTTTATTCAGACTTACTGAACTTATCAACTTATTCATCATTACTCTGTGATATTGTCCCAAAAATATATGAAAATAATGTTACGTAAAACAGAAGCTGTAAAGCAAAGAGTTCCCACATCCAACCAGCCAACTCCTTCTAATGTCACCCAGAGTTTCCATCACCATGCGATGACCTAACAAAGTACATGTGTGTTCCTACAAATAGATTAGCCAGACTATCTCTAACCATTAGTAGTCCTCCCCTTAACCCCAGTGAATATTTACCTCGACCCTAAACTCCACAGGTCTCCCCTCTACCTTTACACACTGATTCCTTAGGCCAAATTTAGGTTCTGAAGTCAACAGGAAAATCAAATCTTATCTTAACACCTCCCATCCTTAATTAGTATAACACAGTTAAGCTACATGTTTGAATTAGGTTTGCTAATTTGATAAGAGATGTTGTGGAATCTGCAGTGATACCACAAGTTTATCTCTCCCTACTACACACATCACCACTAATGTCATTAGACTAATACATGCTGTTAAATTAATTCATGAATGCAGCTCCACCCGTTGATTTCACATATCTCTATAGATATTTGAAAACTGAATTCCTGCCACCTTCGTCTTTATCAAAATTTCATGGAGTAATCAATTTAATGTTTAAGGATTAATCCTCATTTGTAGCCTGCTGGTGTATACTGCATACATAACAACACCTACTACTACGCCATTTTGGTATTAGATGCAATTGACAAAAGTGATCTCAATTTTTTCCTTATTGATATAGATCCACTTCCACATTCTTAACTTTAATTTCCCTATAGAGAAAACCATTGTTTTAGTTAAGGAACAATCCCAAACCATCTAGAGATGAGATAATTAAATTCTTGTAAAAAGTACAAAGCTACCTGATGTTTCATCTCTTTATTTCTAAACTGTCTTTAAAGAATAAACATTTTCAGTCAAAAATCAGTTTTCCTTCTGTTTGGAACTAAAATAAATATTACAGGTTACCAGATAGAAATGACACACTATACTAAACCAAGTATTATATTAACATCAACGTGATGAATGTTTGATCATTTTAACATCCAACAATAATAATAACAATAAAAAAATACTCCAACGTTCAAATTGGATACTATCAGTATTATAAAATGGCATCAGAGTATACTTAGAATTTATGTCAACTGTCCGAAACATTTCAGCACTGTAATTATTAAATCCTTCATATGGCAGTGCCTTATGTTAAATACTAGCAATATGTACAGAAGACCTGAATAAAGCAAGAATATAAATATATAACAGGAATCTGGGTCACAATCTTTCTTCTGGAATGCATGATTATTATCCATATATAACTGTTCAACACACTTGATAATTCAGATATTACTCCCTCCAGTAAGACATTGTAACTGAACTGATTAAATGTCCTGGATCTCCATCCAGTAAGATATTTGTAATTGAACTGATTAAGTGTCCCATCCCTCCATCCAGTAAGACATTTATAATTGAACTGATTAAGTGTCCCATACCTCCATCCAGTAAGACATTTATAATTGAACTGATTAAGTGTCCCATCCCTCCATCCAGTAAGATATTTGTAATTGAACTGATTAAGTGTCCCATCCCTCCATCCAGTAAGACATTTATAATTGAACTGATTAAGTGTCCCATCCCTCCATCCAGTAAGACATTTATAATTGAACTGATTAAGTGTCCCATCCCTCCATCCAGTAAGACATTTATAATTGAACTGATTAAGTGTCCCATCCCTCCATCCAGTAAGACATTTATAATTGAACTGATTAAGTGTCCCATCCCTCCATCCATGTATCTTTGAACTGACTTTTTGTACCAGTTCTTCATCAAGTAAGAAATCAAAGAAATGTGCTTTTATGTCTCAGTCAGTCTCTCCACAACAAAGAATTCCTTGTAAGTTCTTACTGTACCTGTACATATAGTACAGTGATGTCACTAAGTAAACAATATTTACTTGTTGGATCTACTGGCCATCCTCATCCAGTGTCCTTTTGAGTTGAGGCCTCCCTATAGTAGCTGCTTGGTACCTAACTGAACAACATGCAGGAGGCCTAATGCATGCCATCCACAACAATTTGGGTAAAGTTTAGTAACACAAACCACTCCATGGTGTGACTGAACACCTCCGACTGTCACATGGAGTTGTATTGTCTGAGGCAGTTCTACACTAAGTTATCAGGGCCTTTAACAGCAAAACAAATCCACACGTTATGAGCCAGTCAGCAAAGTGATGAACTTCTCCACACTTGTGTAATATGATGAGATTCTTTAAAGTTAACTTGCCTGGTTCCTGATCAGATCACATATTCACATACATGATGCAAGCATCAAATTATATATATATAATTATATTTATATATCACAAGATCAGATACAAGGTAAAACTTCAATGACTTGTTATATGATTCCACATACTCCCTATTTCATAACAGTTCCTTATACATGTAGATGAAGGAAAATGGCTGACTGTAGATCTGTGATGACTACTTGTCAATAACTAAAGAGTGGTATGACCTCTGGTCAATAGTTCACAACTGTTTTGACAGCTTCAAGACATCTCCACTTATCTGGAAGGTAGAAGGCCTCATACACATGAGGGAAGGGCGTGTCATATCCACAAATTCTCTGTATAGGTGCCTCCAAGTTTAGGAAACATTCACTCTGAAAAAACCATGGAAAATATTATGTAATCTATGGGAGCAGATTAAAAATACTAGGTTTATCAGTTTTGCTTTATTATCTTGGTTTACTTGTCACCATATTTAGTTTTGCATTCAGTAATTCCACCTTTGTATTACACCGAGTTATTTCTCCTACTGCATCTCCATATCAAAAGTCATTACTCTCTCCAACTTCAAAACACTGGTAATGTTCCTTACTGTTCCTTATTTAATGTTCACATATATGTATCAATGTCACCTCACTTCATCCTTAAAGGTGATTTCATCACATCGTAACTTCCTTACTTGCCTTGCATGTCCATTGGTATAAAGATTCTCATATCCTGTCCTTCACAATCTCAATCTTATCAATTTTTCTTTGCTATTTCCCATATCCTGCATTTTCATGGAAGCCCTTCATTACTCTGTCCATGTCCCTTAGGCCTAACACTGACCCCATATTATCCATATCCAGTCAGTTTTCTTAACAAAAACAATAGTTAAAAGTCCTGTCATATTTTTATAGTAAATGTGTGTTTTGTAAATTCCAATTCAAACCTGTGAGTCCTCATATATCAATGTACCATTACTTCATTCCTGTTTTATCATATTACATGAATCTTGGTATAAAACAGCACATCTCTTTATAAATACCACAAGTCTTACATCACCTTAAACCATTGATGGAGAGATATGGGTGGCCTCATTATTTATTTCAAAATGTTCATTAATTATTAATCTTCGCTCCTGTTAAACCTCAGTAATAAATTTAACTAAGGAACAGATGTAGTGTGTGCCTAGTAAAACATATAGTCCAAGGGAAATAACTCTTAATTTGCTGAGTGTTAAAATGGTACCAAACTTCAGGAGAATCACTTTGCCAGTGACAAATTTCCATGCTCCCAAACAGTACCCTTCCAATGATTCAATGATATATACCTTTAACTCATGCTATGACAGCCAAGTGAAATTTTGAAATAGCCTATTGATGTTCTGAACAAAGATATGGTACCACAATAGCACTGTCGCTTCTAAAATTCTAATGTGTGTGAATCCATCTAAAATGGAAGTAGTCAAACTGTCTGTAGTCTGTAACCATCTTGTACTGAAATACTCTTCATGAGTCAGTTCTTTTATTGATAAAAAATGCTCAAAATATCCTTCCAATTAGTGATGGGACGACGATTGGATATAATCTATTATCTAATTGTATGATCTTGTCTGAAGACATTGTTACATTTACTCTTGTTTGAAGCAATGTGGGATCGTTATTTTAATATTCTTTCAGCAAAATGAGAACAAGGTATACATTTGCACCAATGGTAACTGCTGTATGTCTATAAATCACAGAAATAAACTCTAATCTATACCTGTACGGTGGCAGCTATCTCTGCAGCGAAACCCATGGTTACTGGGGCCTCATGGGCAATCAACAACTTCCCCGTCTTACATACAGACTGAAAACAACCACATGAGTCTTGTATTGCCACGGAAACGCATCACTTAACACAAAGAAAATGTATCTACTTTTATTTCATTACATATTGAAATCTAAAACTCAAACACCATGTCAGAAATGTTTTAAATGTAAAATTCACAGAATAAGCTTAGTTCCAAATATTGTTATCTTGTTTCATGTTTTATTGCTATAAATATAAACCATTTGTCCTTGATCTTTGACCTTGTAATTAAAACTGTTTTTACCACAAAACTCCTCCTTTGATTCTGATCATTTTGGTTATAATACTATTCAGCTGTCAATGGAGAATTTCACCTTGATCTTTAACTCAATGACTTTTGGTCCCATGACTGAACATAAGGTTTCATTAATACCAATTGCAAGGAGTAGGAATAGTTCAGATAACATTAATTTGTATCAAATGGGCCATAATTACTTTTTGATATATAATTTACCTTTAGAATAGTCTCTTCATCCCAAGGGAGAATGGTTCTGAGATCAATAAGTTCACAAGACACATTTAATTTTTCTTGAGCTAGTTGTGCCACCTCTCGGAGGACATGAACTTGTGTTCCCCAACCAACCAGTGTGACATCACTTCCTGTAAACAAATAAAGCTACAGTTTAGCGATACTTCCTGTGATAATAGGTCCAACAGACCTCTATTGTTCACAAGTGTTTAATTCTTACCATGTTTGAAAATGTCTGAAAATGACTGATAGATATACACATTGATAAAGCTAGGTATATAGAAATGTAACTTAACGCTGCCCAAATTCAGATCAATTTTTAGTACACAAGAAAAATTCAGGATTTTTATATGAAGATGTGTTATAAATGATACCAGAATGTTCTGCATTTTGATTTGAAAGTGTTCAATCTTGCAGTAAAGTCTTGAATTTCAACAGGTCTTAAAACTGGTGTGAGAAATCCATGTACCATGAAAATAAAGGCTAGAAATGATATTTTTCAGATAGTTTCTTCAGGTTGGATGATAAAGTGTTAAACAAAGCATAGTCAAATTGACTAGGATTACAATAATCTCAAAGGGAGTGAAATCACTCTGCTTGTGGTATACCAGGGTGTGTGCAAATATTGTCTATGAATATCTATCTTGTTATTGTGATTGGTCTTAAACTGTCGACATCTACAACCTGCAATAGGATCCTGTGTGTCACTGTATAAAAACTCATGTTCACTCTACCACAGGATCCTGCAAGTCACTGAACAAATACACAGTTCACTCTACAATGGGATCCTACAGTCACTGAACAAATACACAAGTTCACTCTAACAGGATCCTGTGTGTCACTGAATGTAAACACATGCTCTCTCTACCACAGGATCCTGTGAGTCACTGAATGAAAATGTATACTTGGTCTACAATGGAATCCTGTGTTACAGAAGAAAACTCACATCTCTTCGACAATGAGATCCAATTTTAACTCATATTAATTCTGGAATGTGGTTCCATGTATCATAGTAGGAAACTTTAAAAATAACAGAGTTCTACATGGTGTGGTACTAAGTATCACAGACAAATTTCCCTTTAAGAGATTATCATGGCCACATTATGACCTATTTACTATGTATGTACTGTAAACATAAACAAACATATTTTGTCAAACACAAAGTACACATACCCTCTATGAGGACCTCAGCCTTAGACAAGGGGATCTCATAGTCCCCGACAGGTACTTCCTCAACAGCTCCGCGGTACAGAATCTTGGGCTCCATAAATATACAGGGGTTATCATCACGAATACAACTCAGGAGGAGACCCTTGGCCTGCTGTGGGCCTCGTGGGACAACAACCTACAGTACACAATGTCAGTGTTGTTCAATAAAAAATGTTTGGCAGCGAAATTTAAGAGGAGGTATGTGAATGTTTACCTGTTACAAGATATTGTGTCTATATGATAATACATTCAGCCTGGAATGAGTCCCATGGCTAACACATCTATCCTTACTTACAGGAAGGCGATCATGGGCTAAATCCAAAATTGATATATTGTTTCTTGACATTTCTGTTATGAAATTGCGATAGATGTGCTTATTACCAAAAATAGGCTTATTTGCCAGATGACTTTAGTAACAATTATTACTGTTTGTCATACACATTCTTTCAAAACATGTATTGACATAAGAATGCTAAATGAACCCAGAATTTCATACAAACAAAATGTAATACCTGGAGGCATTAAACGTTATAAAACATCCATGTAATGGCTCATTTTTATCAAGAAACCTTGGTAAGTAATGAAATAGTCCTTCAATATAATAACACAATGATTCTTAATCTATCGTAAAACATCAGCTAATGCATTGTGACAGGGTTTCAGACAGACATCTTCTTACTTTTAGGCCAGGTAAGTGAGCGAAGAAGGCCTCTGGACTTTGTGAGTGATAGAGTGCACCATGTCCTACTGCTCCACAAGGTGTCCTAATGGTCAGCTTACCACAGTCAAATAAGTTACCTGTACGGTACCGAAACTTGGCTGCTTCATTAGCTATCTACACAGAGAAAACATTACAAAACTTCACTATGTAATACATTGAATTATCTAAGAAGTCACTTGAAATGTTTTCGTTATTATGGAGCAAGGGCACAAAGTCTTAGTGAACAAACTACAAACATTTAAACCCGTCATTGGAATTGAGTACAAGTTATTCTATTGATCAGATTTGACAGCCCGTCATCTTAAATAACAACTTACCCTAATATTGAAGAGGATTTATTGAAAAATGGGCTACATGATTAAAGAGTCCTTGTTTTTGAAGATAATAGGTATAAAGAGAAAGGCTGATTGCTGGTAAGACAAGAGAATGTAGTATCCTTTTCTATTTTTACCTGTAATGACATTCAATAAGATTTAACATTTCATGTGTCTGACCTGATCAAAAGCTGGGAAAATGTAGTCAGCAAACTGGATTTCTGCTATGGCTGTAGCACCTGCTGTGGCTAGACCAATTCCAAATGCCACAATTCCCTGTTCACTAAGAGGTGTGTTGAACACGCGATCAGAACCTAAAACAAACAGACAGTTCCTGTTTAATACTAGTCTTCCACATCCATGTCAAACATTTAGCATGAAATGCACAATAAAATTGATGTTGATTATATGCAGATTACTGTGATATACATAAATATCATACTATGGAAATTCTATCATCATCCTTATACATCCTCAAAACATGTCAATAAAACAAGATTTTCCCATGTCCTAGATATACTGGATTTAGATATGGTTTATGTTTATTGATATTAAATATGATCTTGGAAGTTTACCGTAGTTCTCTCGGAGGTTGACACTACACCTAAACACACCACCAAATGCCACGTCCTCACCAAACAACACTATAAAAGAAAAATAGGAAAGGGAGATAATTGGACATTCATATCAAAAAATTGACATTTCATATTGTAATACCATTTTAGTAGAATGTATAAATTATTAAAATATACTCTTGATGGTGGAAGTGTGCAAATTTTAATTGATGTAAGTAATAATTATATTGTATCCCATATGGTCTAAACTTTTTCTTTAATCCAATAACGAAATAGAAACCGAAGCTTTCAATCATATGATGTACTCATACACAGTCAAGTAGATACTGATCTATTTCCTCCCCTGATATACAGCTATTTCTGACAGTCATCTCATTTTAATACAATGATCTAACATGCAATGGAACAGTATTAAAAATTTATTTAAAATATCATCCACAATTTTCTAAACTCTATAAACTGAACTAACATGGGTTCCTGGCGTCAGGATTTCTATACAAATCGAATAGTCATGTTTTTCGAGGAAAGCATTTTTCATTACTTGTTCCACCCATTAATAGACTCTAGACTCAAAACATTTTTAAAAGAAAAAAGCAAATTATTTTAGAAAACCCTGTCCCAGGTACCTGTGTAAACTAAGAGACATACCAGATGTTGGGTCTGTTGACAAAGCTATATCCATGGCATTATTCAGTGACTGTACCAAATTAGAACGATTTGTTTCACCTGAAAATAAAACCAATACATCACTACACACAGCTTTCTATATATGAGATATATAGAAATATCTTAGAAGATGGATTTTCCATGTATTGGGTATTGACATCAACCTTTTCCATGTCAGTTTCATGCCAAACTGTAGTAAAGTTGTTTTTGTCTGTTGATAGCAAGTTCAAGATTAAAAGATCAGTGTCTAACTTAAATAGCTACAGAATGATGTTAGTAGGACACAGGACAATGACGGCAGAACAGAATATGTAAAATGGTAATGAAATTTATGATAAAAACCTTTCTTTACAAATCTTTCAAAATCAGTGTTTAAAGAATTAATATTTTTGTCAAAAATAACACCAAATACTGCAACAATGGTGTAAAATATGAACATTTCTAGATATAAAACTTTACAAAAGATATGAGTTTAAAATGGTTTACAATTATAAATCTGCATCCCAGTGGCCCAAGCAAGATGGAGGGATTTTCTTATGGCAATTTCTTTGTTTATGATTTTGTCTAGGTTCTTTCCTCCTTTTTTAGAGTGAGTGATGGTTAAGATATTGGTTACACCTGGTCATTTGATGTTGCACCACGCGTCAACTATTACAAGTAGGTTCCAAACTGATCAGACATATACTGGTATACTCTAAAGTTGGTCTAATTAGTCCTATATGCCCACTCTTTTGCAGATGTTGAGCTGATTTTGATTTTTTTTTCTAAAGCTGTTGCAGAACTGACTTTACTGTGACTTTGATGGTATAAACAGGGATTCCCATTAGACTGGATGATGATACGTGATTACCATACAAGTACATGTACACCTTATTTAGATTATGTATGTTGTAGCTTTTTTTGTACAGCATGATAATTTATATTTACACAATGTTGTTCATTCTGAAAATTGCAATGTTATTCCCAGTAGTCATTTCCATAACAAAAGTAACATGTGTGGTACTTGGTAGTGGCAAGGGATTTGCATTTCTAATTGATTATTGATGCCTATGCTTTCTTTCCTACAAGAAATCCTTCATCCAGGTGTAGACTCCTCATCAATACCACACTATGTTTATGACAGAGGAGTCAATGGTTTTGCTTGTTGGATGGTTTCTAGATGTTAATAATTAGAACATTGGTCCCTGTTAGCCATGTCAATAATGGAACTGATACCAACAATAAATTCAACTACAATGTACTTGTAACTGGCTCTCAATCATGTGATCGACCTTCGAAATCTATCCTTGAGAGGATAGATGATGTGATTTATGCCAGTATGGTTCATAAGTGCAAACATTTAAGACCACTGTTCATTCAGGACCAGGACAAGAGATCCCAGGACTTGACCCATCTGACAAAAATTCTTTCAGAAGTGAAAGGCATTGAGCATACAATGTAGGTGTTTTGCACTTTACCCATAGCAGGGATATATACATCCCTGCCCATAGTTAATGTTAATAAAAAATACTATGACAGAATTTTCACTTTCATGAATTTGTTTGACTTACTTTTCTTTTTACTTAACACACAGATGATTTGAACAAATGCAACTGGCATGAATTAAAATTCTTCCCAACTACCCAGCATATACCCAACCAATATCATGACATGACACCACATACACAAGCACACAAGCATCACAAGAAGTGCACAATCAAGCACTCATTGCAGCATGCCAAATTTTCTTGAAACACTGACAAGTTAACCAATATCTACGACTGTTTTATTTTCTAAATTCTTTCAACTGAGAATGTCATTGTGGCATGGAAGCTTCCCTCTTTCCGTGTGGTGGCAGCTGACTCACATTAAGTTTGCTGGTAACAAATAGTTAATGCGTGTCATAATTACTGGTATGAAATACCACTAGAAACCTGGTAAACCATAGAACATGTGACAAAGGTTTTTTTTTTTAATTTAAAATTTCTAATAAGTTTGTAACATAGATCTGTTAGTATTTGAATTTCAACAATTATTGTTACCTATCCTGTGTGGTGTAGAACAGATGTCCCCAATTTAGAAATGTACAAATTGTGAGCATATTTAAAGACAGAGAATTGTAATTGTCGCAACTTTTATCATAAAAATTCTTTTGACAATCGCTTGCGTAGTGTTAACCTGTTAACTTTGTCATTTTGCTAAGTTTGACCTCTACGAATATAGGACTATCGGTCATGGTAACTTTCATTTCCAATTTACCTAAGTCCGTAGGTGGAATATCGGGTACATATTTCACTGAGTATGCTCTTTGTGATACCACCGACTGTCTGCGTAGCACATGTGCAAGCAGTCGAGGTTTCCCTACAACTCGTAGTATCCGCTTCATGGAGGCAGCCATTTTTTATGTTTACTATGTGTTTGTAAGTCCGCAGTGTCTACTTTCGATTTGATAAACAAATGATGTATGATGTTATACAAAAATATAAAAATATAATAATTCACCGTAACAATATTTCAAAATAATTTTCTATATTTGATATAAACTCTGAATCCATTCAAGCGGGTTTCCCCTTATTTTTAACTCCGCAGGAAATTAGCATTTTGTAGCATCATGGCGACTGATGGGGAACCGGGTATAGTGGAATATTATGGATCTGGTGGTGCACATAGATGTGGTTACTGTGGTAACAATGGCAACTGTTCTCATGGTATATAAACTCTTTTTTGAATGCACGTGCATAATCTATTGAAATTGTTCAAATGCATACTGAATCCTTCCCTGCTTGTCACGGGTGTTACTATAAACAGAAAATAAACAAACGGCAACATGTTTTAGCACAGAGCTAAGTTCATATGTTCTACGCAATGAACGACATTGTATGATGTCATACATCAATGTTATTCCTATGCAATACCACCCCATGTATAATATAGAACCCGAAGACAATTAAAACTATCACCCTGAGGCATGTGTATTGTTTCTTGCATGAAAATCGAAAGTGGGACAATAAACTAAGAAAGTAAAGCGATAAATGATGACATTGCACAATTGAAGGCTATAAGTAGAAATAAATACAATTGAAAATAATAATGTAGGTCTCATATATACCATCCTGCCCTTTCTCACACCTTCATCTTGATCAAATGCAACAGGATGTAAAACATTTCCTGTTAGATACAGCAATGTATATCTAAGTCTTGGATGTATTCAAGTTACAGCTAAATTAACTATAGACTGTCATTTAGAACCACACAATCATATTGGAATATAGTACTTTGATCTCATTTCATATACATGTACAAGAACAATAAAAAGTATGGTACATATGCCAATAGAGGTCTGCCGTTTAAAGATAGCAAATGCTTTAACAGTATTAAGTGAAATTCACTGCCTTTTATCTCGGAACCATCTGCAGCTCAGTCACTGACTGATACTCAAAATTTGATTTGATGTATCTCTAGGAGTATCCTACTATTTCCAGTTTCTCCACTTTCTTTATAACTGAATGGCATAGGCATCTCTGATAAATTTTTAATGAGCTCACAAGTATCTGCCTTTGGTTTTTGAAATATGTAAATACACCCTAATACAATACAGGTAGTTTAGGAGTGGTTTCCATTTTTCTTTCTATTTAATTCATATTGATTTTATTTTTTTTCTAGAAATAACAACATGCATTAGAAACAGGATGGGAAGAGTGTTCCTACCTGATGTTTGGTGATTGGTCAGATTGTATATGCAAAAATCCATTCATCCTTTCCTGGTCTATTCTTTGTTGTCAACTTGCTGTCTGATGTTATAGAGCTAATCTTGTTTAGCCCCTACTATTTCAACAGTTATCCTCTTTTTTAACAGCCCTGTTCTTTAAATATCCATGGTTATAACAATGTTTACAATGATTTCAGGAATGTGGTCCCATTCTTTAACTGTCCAGGATTACCAGGACCTTATTGACAGAGGATGGAGAAGGTATAGTTTTTTTTGTTTTTTGCTAGAATTAAGAAATCAGTTACTGCAATGACGTCACTCTTTCAGAACTAAGGAGTCTTTCTGGTTACTTTTTTTATCAATTTCAAAACTGATGTTTTAAAAAGGAGATGTGAAACAGGAACTGAAAACTCCTAGTCTCTTGGTCTTTTGATGTGTTTCATTGAATTAGTTTCCAGAAGTCAATTGCCATATTTTGAAAACTATGAAGATGTTGATACATGTTAACATTATGGTCAGATTATATTATGAACAGTTCTGAATCCTTTTGATTCTTCTGTAGGAGTGGAAAGTACTGCTATAAACCTACAATGAATAAGACTTGCTGCCCACACTACACCATCAAAATGGAGGCATTGAACTTCAAGTTGAACAAATCCCACAAAAAGATACTAAAGCAAATGAACAAGTACCTTATACACGGTAGTGTGAAGGGTGAGGCTTCCAAACCTTCAGAAGATAAACCGAAGTCGGATGTAAGTGGAGCAGAAAAAACTGCAGAAGACAGCAGCAATATAAAAAATACTGATGTTATGGATAGTCATGCAGCGAAAGCACCTCCTAAACCAGGTAAAGCTAATACATCAGATTTTTTGAGGAACAGGACAGATTAAATTGCAAATAGATTTACATTGGCTCTTTTTCTGCTCTAATGTTGCATACAAACATGTATGAAAATTTCAATATGCAATTAGTTCATTAACATTTCATTGTAATTTTCTGAGGATAAAAACTACTTAAACACTATTTATCTACTCTAACATAACTTATGACTTAGGTTCAGGAGCTGATCCTAACAAGCCACCAATGAGGAAAGCCAAGGACATTCGTTTAGAAAAGAAAAAGTCACGAGAGCTGATAAAACTACAGAGTATGACCAAGGAGGAGGCTATGGCTGCACAGGAGTTGGCTAAAGGCCTTGACCGTGAGGCTAGTACCATGAGCTCAGTCAGCGTGTGTAGTACGGTAAAGACATCTTTACATTTAGTCTGATATTAGATACTGAAAATTATGTTTTGAGAATTAGCTTTCAAAAAAAAAGTCATAGAAATGTTACAAAATCCACACACCCACGTTTTATGTATTTGTTGTCTTTCCATGTAGCCTGTAATGTCAAACCATGGATGATACCATTTGGATCATCTTAAACTTTGCAAACTGTTGGCATCATATTTCTTACAGAATCCAAAGGTTATAGTTGTAATGATATGTAAATGTTTGTCTAATTTTGCTGCAAGAAAATAGGTTTGATGATTTATCAACAAGGGAGATAATACAGCTGGAGAAAAGTTCACTTCATTGTAGTTAGTGGTTCAAATATTTAGCAGTATCTTAACACACATATAAATTTTAAAGTGTTTACAAAGGACCTTGTGATTCTAAGCAGAAAAATAATTTTAATGTTAGTTAATTAAATTTACACGTCATTACATGAAAGATAAAATGTGTCCTTTATTCCACATAACTGTTTGCTTCCTGTGCTGTCCCGTCCATACACACATGTTCAAACTTTCAGGCAGGGATAACCTAGGCTTATCCAGCTATTCAGTTTTTTGTTGATAGCATTGTAACTGATTTCAGCAGAAGAATGAAGCAAAGACACTGGCTGACTATCTCAGTGAACCTGACAAAGCAGAGAAGTGTGCTCATAAGCTGGAGGTAATTAAGAAATATGTTGATTGCTACATATATTTTCAGTACTCTTAAAGGTGATGAATTTTTAGTGAATATGTTCAAAAAAATCAATTTGTATTAGGACCTTGGTGAGTGCAATACACAATGACTCTGGGTGGTCTGGTGACTCAGTGATAATGCATTTGCCTTTCACCTAGACGTCAGAGGGTTGATTCCTCAAACAAAAGGGAAAAGGTGAGGGGTCACCTACACAACATGTGGGTTTTCCCTGGGTAATCTAATTTCCTCCTAAGTAAGACCCTTTGGTGCTTCTATCTTGGCCAACATGAATGATTATAAGTTGGATAACTTGTATCACAGTTTTTTTTAGATAAATATAGCTTATATTTCTGACTTGGAAAATTTCAGGTATGTTTATGATTTGAAAATATTATTTTTTTCCTGTAAAAAAGTTATATTTAGGTTTAAGAAACAATGAGTTCATACTCTCACAAAGACTACAATGATGACTTATATCACTGTTATTAAGACTGTTAATATTGATACCAATTTATTTTATTTTTGCCTTTTAGAAATATCATAATATTACTTATTTCTACTGTGGTAGAAGTTTGCATTCATGAACAACAAATTATAATCATACAAATCAAATGAGAATTTTATTTAGAATATCAAAATTAGTAGTATAGGTCTCAAGTTCCAATACGTTTAAGGCCTTGAGGTCTTGAAGTTTAGCCAAAGGCCTTCTGGTGCAAGTTTAAGACCTCCTAGTCTACAATCTTAGATGAAGGCTTTCTGGTCTTGAAGGACTCCTTCTGTCTCTTTGAATGTTTTACTACCAAAAGTCGGTTTGTGTCATAGACACTTTTTCTAAAATGGATATAATAATTTTGAGATGATAAAGAATTATCATTATTTCTAAATCCTCAACCATTTCAGATTAGACTTGTAAGGTCGAATCCACGAAGTAAGGAATTTGATGAGTCATTCAAAGAGTCACATCAGGTCTACCATAAATACCAGATGGGCATCCACCACGACCCCTCGCATAAACCTAGTGAGAGCCAGTACACTCGCTTCCTGTGTGACTCTCCCCTACAGGTAAACTAACTTTTCCACATGTGTTTGTAGGTACGCCTCGTTAGAACTGCACCACAGAGCAAGGAGTTTAAAAACAGTGAAAAGGAGTCTGCAGAAGTTTTCAAAAAATACCAAATGAAGGTGCACAAAGACCAGCCATACGAATGTGATAGAAACCAATGGCTTGACTTCCTAGTTCACTCACCACTAAAGGTATCTGGTTGAACGGGGCACTCAAGTTGCCAGGTCATACTCACCTCCCAGCATATCAGACAGAACTTGCTGTCAGGTTATACTTAGTCTGCGATTGTACTAAATCTCAGTTCAAACTTTAGGAGTCACACTCAGTGTCAGATGAAATTCAATAACAGGTCACACTCTGTGCTTGGTCACACTCTGTGCTTGGTCACACTCCGTGCTTGGTCACACTCAGTGCTTGGTCACACTCCGTGCTTGGGAGTGTTGGTCACACTCCATGCTTGGTCACACTCTGTGCTTGGTCACACTCCGTGCTTGGTCACACTCAGTGCTTGGTCACACTCAGTATCAGATTAAATTCAATAATAGATCACACTCCGTGCTTGGTCACACTCAGTGCTTGGTCACACTCAGTGCTTGGTCAAACTCAGTGTTTGGTTACACTCAGTGCTTGGTCACACTCAGTGCTTGGTCACACTCAGTGCTTGGTTACACTCAGTATCAGATAAAATTCAATAACAGGTCACACTCTGTGCTTGGTCACACTCAGTGCTTGGTCACACTCCATGCTTGGTCACACTCTGTGCTTGGTCACACTCAGTGCTTGGTCACACTCTGTGCTTGGTCACACTCAGTGCTTGGTCACTCTCAGTGCTTGGTCACTCTCAGTATCAGATCAAAGTCATCTTTCAACATCATGTCACACTTGATGATTGATTTAACTTAATGTCAGGACAAACTCATCATTCAATGTCAAATCACATTCATTGTCAGATCAAACTCACTTTTCAAGCTTTCAAGTCACCATGAATGTCAGAGCACACACATTGTCAAGGCAAACTTACCTGTCAGGTCACACACAATATCAGGGCACACACATTGTCAGGGCACACACTTACCTCTCAACATGTCAGATCAAAATAACTGTCAAGTCACACTCAATATCAGGTCACATACATTGTCAGGGCAAACACATTATCAGGGCACACACATTGTCAGGTCACACTCAATATCAGGCACACACATTGTCAGGGCACACACATTATCAGGGCACACACATTGTCAGGTCACACTCAATATCAGGGCACACACGTTGTCAAGGCAAACTTACCTGTCAGGGCACCCACATTATCAGCGCACACACATTGTCAGGTTGCACTCAATATCAGGGCAAACACAATATCAGGTCACATACATTGTCAGGGCACACACTTACCTCTCAACATGTCAGATCAAAATAACTGTCAAGTCACACTCAATATCAGGGCACACACATTTTCAGGGCACACACTTACCTCTCAACATGTCAGATCAAAATAACTGTCAAGTCACACACATTGTCAGGGCACACACATTGTCAGGTCACACTCAATATCAGGGCACACACATTGTCAAGGCAAACTTACCTGTCAGGGCATACTCAATATCAGGGCACACACATTGTCAGGCACACACATTGTCAGGTCACACTCAATATCAGGGCACACACATTGTCAAGGCAAACTTACCTGTCAGGGCACACTCAATATCAGGGCACACACAATATCAGGGCACCCACATTATCAGGGCACACACATTGTCAGGTCACACTCAATATCAGGGCAAACACATTGTCAGGTCACACTCAATATCAGGGCACACACATTGTCAAGGCAAACTTACCTGTCAGGTCACACTCAATATTAGGGCACACACATTGTCAGGGCACACGTTATATCAGGGCACACACATTGTCAGGGCACACTCAATATCAGGGCACACACAATATCAGGGCACCCACATTATCAGGACACACATATTGTCAGGTCACACTCAATATCAGGGCAAACACAATATCAGGGCACACACATTGTCAGGGCACACTCAATATCAGGGCACACACATTATCAGGGCACCCACACTATCAAGGCAAACACAATATCAGGGCACACACATTATCAGGGCACACACAATATCAGGTCACACACATTATCAGGGCACACACAATATCAGGGCATACACATTGTCAAGGCAAACTTACCTGTCAGGTCACACTCAATAGCAGGTCACATAGTGATGAAATCTTTTCTTGACTTAACAGGAGATGACAAAGAAGGGTGGAATTCCAATGGGATATGGTTCCTTCCATCAACATTATGTATTGGATGGTAAAATTATTGCTGTAGGTGTCATTGACATTCTTCCTTATTGTGTGTCATCTGTCTACCTCTACTACCACCCGGATTATGACTTTCTATCTTTAGGAACATATACAGCACTTAGGTATGTAAGATTTCCTTTTTTGTGTGTGCTATTTCATTATGCTACCACTAAGGCATACAAGTGATCTATAGATCAAGGTCTAGTGTTTTGTCATTTTATCAAAACATTATTTGTACTTTTATATAAAGATATATATATGATATTAAAAATTCTTTTTGTTTTGAATTTTCCTTGCTCTAATGAGTCTGTGCTTGTTATGCATTAAATGTATTAACAGATGTATAAATTTTATCCTTACAGGGAAATAGCCTTTGTTCAAGAGCTCAACAAGAAAGCCCCTGACCTTATATATTATTACATGGGATACTACATACATTCCTGTCCAAAAATGAAATATAAGGTAAAAAAAACCCCATCAAATAACCAAGTAATGTTGCTCTTCAATTTAACATCATGATCTGACAGTCATTTATCTCTTTTTTTTTTCATTTTGATAAACTAAGCCTGTTGAGGGTCTGTATTGAATGTCAATAATAAAACATTTGAATTTTTACAAGAGACATTTAAAGTTACAGGAATTGTAGGTAAATTTTCGCTAAACTTTCTGTCACTCCTATGACCACTGATCAAAAGGCTTCAGCTGTTTAATGAAGTTCTATGTATCCAACTAGATTATTTATCAGCATCATAGTCAGATCGAATCTCCAAAAATTTGATAATCAGATCATTCTAATAGCAATACATTCAGTAATATTAAAAGTTGCCTAAGTGGATTCACGACATTAAAATCTAATTCAATACAATGTTTTCAACCATCCAACACTTTCCTACTACTGATATAAATACCCTTCATCTTTTGTCTCCTATACAAACAGAATCTGTCTTATATAGACTTCATACTCTCCAGGAAATAATTGTTGTGATTTCTATATAAGGAATAATAACACTGTTATTCTTTCTTCAGGGTCAATACTTCCCATCATTCCTATTGTGTCCAGAGACCTACACCTGGCTACCTATAGCAGAATGTACACCTAAACTAGATGTCAATAAATACTCGAGGTTTGCTGCTGAAGAAGTGGGTATGTACAGTTCCAAAAGTGCTTAATTATGCCACGACCATACATGGTAAGGAGCATAAAGAATGCACCTTTCAGTCATTCTGTCTGCCCCCCTTTGCTTTGTCTTCCCAACTCCTCCTTAACCCTTTGGAGGATTTTAATGAGATGTTCAGAGAAAGATCACAATGTGTAGCTGTGCAAATTGCAAAGGGAATGCTGTTCAAATGTTTTTACAGGATTTGTGACCCTTGAACTGAGATTTTCCTATGCAAAATACCTTGTCTATGTAACTACTCCTAAATGCTTAATAGGATTTTATCAAAACTTGGTACAAAGAAAGACCACATTGTGTAGATATTCATATGGCAAGGGGAATGCTGTTTACAGGATTTATGACCCTTGGACTTAGATTTTCCTATGCAAATTAACTTGTCTTCCCAACTCCTCCTAAAGTCTTTGGAGGATTTTAATGAAAATTGGTACAAAGAAAGACCACATGTAGATATCATCAGTCTTCAAAAGAATTATTGAACATTTCAAAACCATTCAGTATTCTCAACAAAATCATCAAGCAACTAGTGTTTATGGCTCCAAACTAGATCTTGCTTTTGTGTATTTAGCCATCAATGTAGATTTATGTATGTCTGTAAACTACTAAAATGACCACTATGCAGTTCAAAGTTGTTCTGTGTTTCCCTTGAAATCCAGTGTTAATGTTTCTCCTGAATCCTTAATTTATACGTAATGACTAATACACTAATAATGACTACACTATATTAGACATTTTAGAAGTACTGTTGTCAAGAAATCTTTACCAAACACAATTACAAATAATCCATTTTGATGTAGAAGAATCCGCAACAAAATATGTTGAGCTGCCAGAATTGTAATCTACTTCAATGATAGATGGATGTTGTCTACATGATTACATTTTCGTTATTGGATTGGATTTCTGTTGTGAAATAAGTTTTTTTTTGAGGCATAATTGTTTCATTGAATTGGAAATGGACACTTTTATACATTACCTAATATTGAGAGATATGTATGTGATAAGGTATATATGACATACACATAGCGCCTTTTACTTTATTTATGACAGTTAAACTGTAAAAGACAGTTTTTGTTTTTCTTTCACAGAGGATGAAGGTGGAAAACTTGAGATCAACAATGTGCTTGTACTGTTCTGTCGACAAATTATGACTTATGAAATCTACAAAGCTTTGAATGCAAGAGCACGGGATGCAAAAGAAGTGCTGGAGTATGCCCTTTTAGTGGGGAAGAAATGTGCACAGAGAATGTTGTTGTTTAGAAAATCATAGACATATTTAATGGTGAACATATCTGTGTGGTTTTTTACCTTAGCTGTATTACTTTATTGTTAGTTATGCTAATAATTTTATTTACCGACGCACAAAGTCCGTCCAGCAGCAACTTCATCTTGTACAACATTTTAAGACTTGTAACTTACCTACATGATATTGAAAGTCTTAAAGTTTGGCCAGAATTGCTTCAATGGATGGACATCATGTCATCAGGTGAATTGGGTTAGTCCATTTAGGTCACAGGGTGTAAATGTGATTATGTCTGACTGATTGATCAAATGAACAAGTAATAAGAATGTACCCATAAGTGTAAGTTATCAGGTTTTATATACAATCTCTTGTACAATATACAGTACTTTCAGCTCCCCATATGATATATAATCGTCTTTCTGTTTATGTGCGAGTCCATTTGTCTTTCTGTTTATGTGCGAGTTCATTTGTCTTTCTAAGAAGAATGATCATTGAAATAAAAATGCACCTGCAATAATTTAATTTAGTAAAGGATTAACCTCTTAGAGTCAATGGGCTAGAGGTGAATAATTTTCCATTTTGAAAATAAAACAGAAATGGATGTTGTCAGGAATTTGAGAAAATATAGACAGTAATCAGGCTCAACAAACATAACATAATTCCTGGAAGGATGAACCCTACTGATTTTACTTATTATTGTCTCAAAGATAAAGGTCACATCAGTCTTACAACAAACAGGAGTAAAACAGATGTTTGTTAATTACAAGGTCACAATGCCGTTGTTATGTTATATTGTATTTATTACATGATGTCAGTTTGTTTAATCTTTATAATCAGCATGGATACACTATGCCATATGATATTAGTGATGTCTTTGATGAAATGTTGCTACATGTCTCTGTTTCTTTGTAAGATATGTGAATGTAAACTCTTGGAAGTATTGCTCACATAGATATGTACACAATGTACACAAATACAAGCCCTTGATCAGTGATGATTTTTGTGTATAACAATCTTATTTAATAACTGGTATATTATCCCATAACTGAGTACAAGAAAGCAGTGTATGTTTCACTAGTATGGTAATTCTTATTTTAGCAAATTCTTCAAATATTTGTCATGTTTCCTATCAAACTGACTCCCCCACCCCCACCCCCATCCCTCTGACACATATTAAAACCTCTCTTTCTGTTACTATTGATTATGTCATAATGCCTGAAGATGGCTGCTAGGCCTGAAAACATTAGTGAACTAACTTATTGGTTTTAACTTTTTAATCATCTAACCAATGCACAATGTAAATACAAGTTAAACCAACATATGTATTCAAACTGTAGATTTTATCCAATCGTTTCTCCTTAAATTTCTCATCATCATTACAGCTGACTTTTTTACTAACACTGTAAAAATAAGATAGTGATTTTGTGTAGTGAAGAGCATTGAATTATTGAACATTCATCAACCTTGTGCAATTTTGTTGGAATTGAAGTAGAAAGAAAACAAATGTAGAATTGTAGAATACACTATCATTTTATTGTAAATTTATTTTTCAATACATTTTTTTGTACTTAGGATGTTAGTTAGATTACATGGTTAATGTTATATTAATGTTTTGTGAAATCTTTGAAGATTTTATTTGATCAGATGCAATAATAAAACTTGATCATTCTTGCACATGAACATATGAAATACAATTTAATATTCAATCTCTTCTGAACTCTATGTTTGTAATGCTCTGTAGAAATTGATAAAATAATACACATCTCTTGGTACCAATTTAGATTTGATATACTTTAATGCAGAAATATATTTTGACAGGAGAAAAAGAATTATGAAAAAACCATCAAAGGATAGTTGGATATACTTTATGCGTAAGTGAGTTTGACAACCATATTGAAACTTTAATCTTCACATATTAAGAAAGCACTTCTGTATTTTAAAACGTGTTAACTGAATATTTGTTAATTTATTTTTTGTGTTGTGTACATATACATTCTACTCATGTTACCAGGAGGAAACTGCTCAGTAATACATGTCATTGGACTTGAACTTTCTAATTTTTATGTCGCTGATGATGCATTTTCATGTTTTAATACATTTGTGTAATTTTACAATGTTCTTATGATCCACTTTGAGTTGAATTCACATGGCCAACTAAACAAAAAAGAAATTGCAACATGAAATTTCCTACATTAAATTAGGCATGATTTTGTGTAATGTTATCAGACACCATGAAGCTCCACATTGCTCATCGATATGAATAGCATTGGCCTTGTTGATGTACATGTGTACATGCAATCTTGAATTTAATTATATTTTGTATCAGATGAGTAAAAAAATAAACTTTCTGTACACCAGAGTAAAATATACTTGTTTTATGTTTCCTGAAAGTTTTCAGTGAGATCATATAGTCACCGCTTTGTCCATCTCGTCGTCATTTTGTGTCTTTAGCATAACTCTGCCCACATTTAAGTAACTATCATGAAACTTGGTGTATGTATTGGTCATACTAAGGCAAAGTATTGTGTATCAAATTCAATGCCCTCAACCCCTGAATTACAGAGTTACTGCACATGTCCTTCTCATCTGGAGCATAACTTTGCACAAGGTTAAGCAAGGATAATGAAACTTGTTATATCCATTGATCATATTAAGACAATATGCGATGTACCAAATTCAGGGCCCTCAACTCCTCAATTGCAAAGTTGCTACCCTTTGTTAAAATTTTGTGTCCGGAGCAGAATTTTACTTGCATTTAAACCAGCTAGGTTAATAAAACATGGTGGATACATTGATCATACTAATTCGATATGCAGTTTACTAAATTCAGGGCCTGAAACCCCTCCATTTCTGAGATATTGCCCTTTGTTAAAACTTTCTTGTCTGTAGCATAACTTTACCCATAGTAAAGCAAGAATTATATACAGTGTACCAAATTAAGTGCCTGCAATACCTTAACTACAAAATTATTATTGATCAAAATAGTTAAAATTTTGTGTCCAATAGATTTGTTTTAGGGAGCATCTATCAGTTTCACTGATACTCTTCTTTGTGATGGCTGTCAATAGGGAAACAAAAGTTCCTATTCCCTTGTAACAGGAAGGAGTAATGTAAAACACCCTGCCACTGCTAGGGTTTGAACTAGTGACCCTTCAGTCTTAGCCAGACTACCACTCAACTGAAACGAAATTCTCACTAGCTGAGGGGCTTGACTTTTTACTCCAGTACACTCAAATACACAAAAATATACTCTAAATACACCTAGACTTCACTGTAATCTTCTAATCTTATGCCTAGTGTGATCATTTTAGGCCTAATTATTGCAGTATTTGACTCTAGTACAGGCAAGTAAAATGTCAAAATAGGAAGAATATATATGCACAAGGTAAATTCTACAACAAACTTTAAATGGACGAATATTTTCATTTTATACAGTGTACCATTCAAACCAAACAAAATGTACATATAGGAAGCCATATCCCTTGAAACAAACCATGTTACCTTTTAAGAAAGTGTGATAAAACAGATGTGTAGGTTTATTATATCATGTGACTTTAGTTATTTAGAACCTGCCTATAGCTAACTCCTTGTCATTTTTCTCTTTATATGGTTTACAATGAATTTCATTCATAAACTACCAATAAAAGTTTCTGTCCTGAAGATATTTAAGTTTAGAAAAATTGTATCATAAAGGGAAGCACACTCATTATTCATTTTTAAAATTGTGTTTTAAAAATTCTTAAGCATAATAAAAATTCAATGAAAATTCAACTGCTCCATATAAGTGTATCAGATATGAACATTTATCCCCTTATTTTATTGCTGTTGTTTATACTCTAAAAAGTGCTGTTTCCATCTATTAAGCATTTTCTACACTACATAACATCTTGCAATCAATTTGATTTACCAGGACAATTTATGATTATTAATTATGTAATGTATGTATGTATTGTATATTGTTTCAATCTTCTCTCCTATTGGTCATACTTTGACTGGGTTACTGGTAATGCCTCAGGTAACCTTAATACACCAATTAGAGTGCTCTACTTGGTCAGTGTTACAGGAGTACAGGTAAAGCACAGAAGAAAATTCAATACACTGACCAATTAATGGAAGTAATTAGGTGTGTCAATCACCTTGTGCAACTAACATGGTATAACTTCAATGACAAATGAGTGTTGATTGGTCGTTGCTGATAAGACCCAATATATATATATACAGTTGTAGCACATATTTTCTTTGATCTGATACATTAGATGACTTACTGTTTCATATTCAAGTTCGATTATTGAAAAGAATGCTAAAAGTTTACCTGGTCATAATCATGATGAAGATCAAACATAACATGGATGATTGATTTCTGTAAATTAATATTAAAGGCAGGTGTAAACAATATCTAATTCTTCAATAAAAGAATAATGACATTTGAGCTGACTCAAAATTAAGGACATCCATACAAAAAAATAAATCTTAAAGAGAATGATGCATGTTCAAAGGAATAGGAAGAAAAGATAACTGCTATCAACAGAAATGAAAAGTTTGTATGATGAAAAGGTCCTTTTTGTGATAAAAAAAAAACATGAATTTAAAGTTTCGTATTTTGCAGTTTCATCATAATGACAAAACGGGTCAGATGACACGTAAAATTACACGTAATTCTTGCTTTTATTTAAATATTTAGTTACTTTGTATAGTTGTTCAGCTGATGACATGACCAGGGACGTAGGTAACTGTTATCAACGTCCCTGATATGATGGATGTTCATTATAGTCTATATAACAGTCAGGCACAATAGAGAGTTATTCCCCTTAGTCCTTTGATTTAAAAAGATCACATACACATTAAGGAGCCTACTGGTAGTCTAATAATGTAATAATTAGATCTAATGGATAGATCAAACGCGAAAAGAGAATAATTGAGAGAATTTTAGACGTTTTTAGATTTATTTTGGTTTATCTGAGTATATTTTAGTGAATCTGAGTAAAAAATCAAGTCCCAGCAGAGGCTCGAAAGACGTCCGGTACTCTCAATTTCTACCCAAGATTTGATCCTTGTCACGGCACCATTTGTAGGAGTGGACTAATGGGATATAATACAACCCGGGTTCTGGATCAGGGCTTCCATGTGGCTAATAGTATTAGATAAATTAGCAAGTTGCATGAAACAATTATGAAAAAATAGGAGCATACAAATACAAAGGTGCGACAAGCCCACTGCTCTGAAACAATATTCAATACATAACAGATACATGGTCAGGACCTGGCATCTCAATGGACATATTCAGGCACCTCCTCCTACTGATAAGTTAAACAGTACAGACAATTAGGAAGGAGAAGAGAAAAGGAGAGACAAATTCATCTCAGAGAGCTTCTGTCCGAACCTATTAACAACTGCTTTCTGTGCGGGGAATATCTTTCAAGGAGCTATATTAAAGGCATGACTCTCTGATCATGGGTATCTATAGTATGTTGACTGAAGGGAAATCCCCACTCTCCGGGGCTAGGCTTGTTGGTGACCGTTAGCCTATTGTCAAATTTTACACCATCAGTTAGAATTGGTAATACAGATGCTGCACTATAATTTATTAAACATTACATGATGTTGTTGAATAACTCCGTAGCCAAGATATTCTTAAGAAAGATCCAACAGAAGTTTGGTTTTTTTTTTTTTTTTAGCCTTACATAACTGGAAGCTGACATTTGAAATACATGTACTGAATTTCCTTTTGAAAAAATACAATCATGTACATATTGTACAAGTCATTTGAAATGGAGCCGTTTTGATTTATGATCTCTGATCAGGATTTTTGCTTGTAAAATTAATGATATAGGTGCACATCCTTAAAACTTAAAATCTTTATTTTTTTGTTTGTTATATTTTTATGATTTTGTTTATTCACAGTGCTGTTATTGTCAACTTTTATGTGTACGAGTTATTTCCCCTCTCTCCTGACTTTTTTCTGTCGTCTCTAGCATACCCATAAACTAATTCACATATCGTAGAAAAAAATAGTTTGATGGGATATTCAATCAATATCTAAACTGCATTTGAACATTGGATGCAGTCATTTATTTATTTTTGTTTGAGGTAAGCGGTGCAGATTTGTTATGATATAAGCGACACATGTGCCGGCAAATCCTCCAGTCGTCTATGTTGAGAAGGCAGCGCCCAAATAGAATCCAAGGTGATTATTCAATGACGCTATATTAATTTAAGTATCTCAAATTCGTTAAGGTTATTTTTTCTGATACGTTTGCTAGACCGTATAAGAGCGTTTTTAAACAGACCAATATTTTCGAAGCAGTGCAATACTGTCAATAGCAATGTGATCTCTTTATGCTCACCACTCACTGGTCTGTCAATAATATAGATGATTGAGTTTTGTTTGTTGGATTTGTTTCTATCAAGGATCGTGTCATAGCCGTCATTATTAACCAAATCAATGCAATACATTGACAGTTAACTTAAGTGTTGGTTGTCGGCAAAATTAGCCTGTTCAATCAACTAAAAACCACCAAGTAAATATTAACTTAATATGCCGGCTATTTTCAAGACTAACCGGCAGTTTCAAACCTTAGAGAGGACACTGCACTTAAAGTCACCATTGTATGCTGAACATCCTTGGATGTACGAGAATGCCCGGAGTAGGTTGGGCACAAACCCTCATATAAGGAATAGTCTGCATTTGAGGGATAATGACAGCTTTTAGTTAAATTAGTTAATTTGTTAAAAAAATAAATAAAAAAAGAAAATGGATTAATAAAAAGTTAACACAAAAGTCATTAGACAGAAGAGCTTTAACAATCATTAATAAATAAAAGAGAAAGAAAAAGAAAACAATGAGTAATAATTTCAGTAGGTTAATGAGTAATTCATTTTATAAAAGATTTTATCTATTGTTGTAAATAATGTTTGATATTATTTAAAACAATTTTCGTAATTAATGCATATTTTCATGCTTTTTTCTATGATATTCAAATAGAAGACCAGGAAATTAAACTTGATATAACTCATATTCATCTTCAGTCTTCTGACTGTGTTCATTACTTATGGATAAAACATAATACTTCTATTGATTTCATTTCCAGATAAGTGATTGCTGTAGAGAAATACACATGGCAATCCTAGGAGCCCAGCTCGTGTTCAGTCTCGTCGTTTTCAGCATTTTGCAGAAGTTGGCAAAACATTTCTCTTTTGGGCGATGGCTTTTGTGTGGGAAGCTTTTTCGCTTTTTGCATCCTACAGATGCTCAGATAAAAGAAGTTGCTGGCCTTCCTAACTCAAATGCACCCAACAAAGCTAAAAACAGAAAATTTGATAACCGCAAAGATAAGAATGGTGCTGGAAATGCTGAAGGGTTTTCTGTACCTAGGAACATTCCTCTTGAGTTAGATACAGCAAAAGTGGAGCTTCTAGATCTCTTACAGCTCAAGTTTTTCGATGAATACCAATGGCTTATGGACTTTTCAGCATCAGCAGTAGTTGTGTACATATTAACAGAAATCTATTACACATTAGGACCGAGGTCTGAAATGAACATCAGTGTTCTATGGTGTTTGTTAGCAATAGGATTCTGTCTACGTTTGTTAATTGCCCAAACAGCCATGTATTTTAAGTCGGATGAGGGTGGAGAGAAGATTCTATGTATAACCTTTGGGTTCTTCTTCTTGGTGGTTGCTATGGGTGTACTTGTCATTGACTCCAATACATTGGAACTTGGATTGCAGGAGGGATACAGTAATTTTTCAGAAAGTGCAACAAAGTTTCTGAAAGAACAAGGACTGGAATCACATGGACCTGTATCATTTCTGACCTTCAAAATCATCTTGACATTTCTATGTTCTTTCATAGGTGCTCTTTTAACATTTCCGGGATTACGCTATGCAAAGCTGCACCTTGACACTCTAAAATATCACAAAGAGCGTCGAGTAATGCAAGCTCTTTTACAGCTTAATTTTATTCTGCCACTGATCATTTTATTGATGTGGTTCAAACCTATAGGGAGAGATATAATTTGTGCAAAGCACTGGAAGGTGACATATCGTCTAATGGACGAGCCAATGTTTGAAATTTGGAGAATTGTACTGGTTGTTATATTCGTAGTACTCCGGTTTTCCCTCTTGATACCTCATCTACAAAGCCATCTCAATGTAGCTTACATTCGAATGGAGAATTTGAAGAAAGAATCTGGCCGTGTAAACAGTGTGGACTTGCAGAAGATGGTGGCTCGTGTATTCTATTATCTTTGTGTTGTGGCACTGCAGTATATTACCCCTCTAGTGTTCCTTTTGTTTCTGACATTTTTGCATAAAACTCTCGGTGAATTCTCCTGGTCAGCCATGTTTGGAAAGAGTGCAGAGAGTTATGTTACATCCTTCAGTGCAGGGAAAGTTAACATTGCCCCTAGCAATGCTACTACACCCATTCATGAGCCAGACAGTGTAACAGAGGCAGCTGCTCAGTTCTCCTGGGCTATGACTAACTTGAGACTTGTCTTCTCTCCTATGTGGTACCGAGGACTCATGGCCTTCCTGGTCTGGTGGGTAGGAGCCAGCTGGTTTACTTGTACAGCCTTCGGAATCTACTACTACTCAAGCATATCTTCTTAGTATCGGGGGTAAAATCTGGGTTGGGGGTGAATAGCTTCATGTGTTCTGAGAATTATTTTTGGCTTGTGATTTGTTAATTGATCCATGTATTTGGTTTCCAAAATGCTTAAAGAATTAAAACCTAGTCAAATAAATATTGATAGAGATAACAAATGATAATATTGGTGCAGAAGTGAAAAGTATTTTTGTCATGTTCATTACAATGCTGGTATCATTGTTACATGGTATTGCCATTTTGATATTATTTATGTTAATAAATGATTCAAGATCAGATGTTCAGATGTTTGAAATGTCATGATATAACCAGGAAAAACTATGTGCATATGTTTTGGGGTTGTTAAAAATGATTCTAAGAGAACATGCAGTTGATTGGAGTGGTTTGATGATGATTTTCCTTTTCCTTCGCTACAACAGTGTTTTCATTTTAGCCCTATTAAGACATCTTTTTCTGTTTCAATACATTTTTTTTTTGCCTCGATATATATAATCAATATTAAATTAGAAATTGATAGAATAAATCCTGAAAAATTCACATTTATATTTTCATTGGGATTTTCCAGTTTTTCAAATACTTTTTTTATTCTGGGTAAGATCACACATGCTGTTAGCCTACATATTCACTTTACCTGTATTTGCTGTACCAAAAACTTTGTATTTCTATTTTAAAGCAGTCTTCAATAATTTTCTCTATATACCGTCTGTATCAGAACATTTAATGATCTCAGTATGTGGCTGGCTCTTGCAGTCAAATTTTTATTTCACATTACAACAAACCTATCACTTCTTTTCACTGAACTGATCAGTATTATAGAGTATTATAGAAAACATATATCTTTGATTTTCCTTCATGTTTATGATCTTCACAGGTAGCTAAAGTTTGATATGCAGAATGCAGTTCACTGTGTCAAAATGATTAGAGTTGACACTAAAATACTTAGAATATTCAAATATAGAATTTTTGTCATTGAGATAACCAGACATGTCATTAAAAGATAAATGATTCCCAAATATCCATTCCATCTTAAAAGTTAAAAAATTATCAGGTTTTGAGAATGATGTGGTTCTATCTTTCCATGTAACAGTCTTGATAGATGTGCTTCGCTGTATTCAGTCAAAATTTGAGGTGGTGATCTGTTATACAAGTATATATAGAGGAGGTGATAAAGGTATCATTGTGGGGAGGCAGGGATACAATTTTTTCTTGAGAGATATATTTATTGTTTTTTTCACTTAATGTTGCCATGGTAATCAGTAGAAAAAACCCCAATTAATTTCAGGATTCTAATGCACACAGTCTTGGAACAATTCTATATCAATTCTGTTTTTACCAGTACCTGTATATTTCTGTTTGATATCCATGACCAATCATTTATTTTAGATTCTGAGGAAGACAAAATAAATCTGATTAGATATTCAAATATCTCCTATTTCATGCAAATTTGGACATAGTGCCATAGCAAGTTTTAAAAAGAATACAAAATTAGAGGAAATTGTTAAGGATTTCATGAAAAGGCATTTTGAAATTTGCTGAATTTTTACTTTTTGGACAAGAAATGACTCAAGCCAATGGAGAGTCATTGTTTACCATTACCAAATCATGGTGTTAAAAAAGTAATCTAATTCCATGTCGATGTGGTGCTGCTTTTTTGGTAGTTGCCTTGTTAATTTTTATTTCCTTTTTTGGGGGAGGGGAGAGGTGAACAAAACTTATAAATATGAGAGCTATGAGTTAACACTTCCGATTGAAATCTAATGAAAGCTGGGGGTATTATCAAAAGGAATGCATTTACCCATACCATTTCAAGTGTATTATTTAGATATAATGAAGTGTTGCAATTCTTAACATAATGTATGTATTTTGTGTTTGTTTGTTTGGTTTGGGAAAATTGAATCATTGCATGTGTAGATAGTATTTGATATGGTATGGATATAGGCAAAATACCTCTCTATCCATATCTGAGAAATTTCCTAGAAAGAACTATTTATAGCAACTTCAAGAGTCTTGAGGTCAAGGTATTGACTTACATATTTCTGTAAATAAAACAAGTAAAGATATAATTGGTGCTTGTGAATGTTCTGTGCACATTGTTACTGTAATTTTAGAGAAGTATATATCTAAAACTATTTATAGTCGGTCAGTTTTTTCAGACTGATTCTCATTATTGCTGGAATCTTGAAAATCTTCATTTAGTTGGTAAAATTAGGGTAAACTGGGTTTTTTTTTTTTTTGCAGAAATGATTATTTTCTGTCAAAACAATACACTTGTCTAATATTTCAGAGATCACTGTACCTACGGCGAAATAAGCAACTCTGACGTTAACTGATAAACTGGTCTGATTATAATTCAAGGAAGAATATAAAAAGTCATCTGTATGTTTATTGTGAGTTCATATCTCCACAAATACTTGTAAATGATATGGCTTGTGTATTAGGAATGTTGGAATGTATTAATGTTGATCAACGCATGTTTATCCAGGAGTATCTCATTTTACAAAGTTTTTAATAAAAGAAATGATGAAAGATTCAGGTTTTTATATTTTTTTACATATCGGAATGATGAAGTTTGCTTATTTACCAGGAATCGTAAACCTAAATATTTTCATTTTTACAAAAGACGAAGTACCCACAAATTATGTGACTGTCATACATTTCACAATAACAGTTACTTAGTAGTATATCGTTGACTTCATAAGAACTTAAGGTTCTGTTTTATCATTGATCCGACTGGTTGGTAATATAGAGAAATCAACAACCAAACTTAAGTAGGTGTATGTCATGGTATTCCAATGATAATTACGTAATCTCTATTGTGAGAAGAACTCTGATGAAAGTATTTTCTCAGTCCCTAAGTGCAGGTGCATTCTTCGTTTCTTTTGTTTAAACATTTTCTGCCATATACACTACCAATCTCGGACTTTTTTGGTTGGAATATTTCATGAAGCATTTATACGATATTGCGACACGCTAGATAACAAGAAAAAAACCAACTTCGATATAAAACAATGCGACGTATGAGGATGAAACAACTTTTATTTCAAATTGATAAATATAACCCGACAATAAACATATTGGAATGATTAGCTGGTTACATGTCACTATTACCATCAGGTAGCTTGTTAGGACCAGGCTTCTTTTCACTTAATATTGTGGGACTAAGACATTCAAGGAAATGTAAATTTGTTAAAATGGAAATTACTACTAATTCACACACAATGAAGACAATTTGTTTGGTGATATTGTTTGTTTATGAGTGTTGTAAATAAATATATTGCGATACACAAGTAAGGAAACATGCGGACAGAGCAGGCGGAGCTTCCTATAACAGCACTAATAACAAGTTATGATGAATACTAAATTTAAAAATCCCACTGAATAGTGAAGTTTGACATCACTATATTAAACAAGAAACTATGTTACAATGTTTTGATAAGGATGCGACATAACACAAATGTCTAGGTTGCCTAGTTCGATTTAGCATGGTCGTGCTACCATATATGAACTTTACCGAGACGTTTTAGACCAATTATCGAATGTCACATTTCAAATGACGGTCTCAACTAATAATTTGTCAGGAAAAGTTGCTTCAAACCACAAAACAAAAATAGTGTTTTTTTTCATTTTTCACTTATTGATATACAAAGAGTACTGGATCAATTTACTAATGAAGCCCGGAAACACGTCTTTCTACCAGAACTGTACCAGGACAAGACGATAAAAGTAAAATACGAAATATATTGAACATGTCCAAACTTTATGGTGCCGGAGTTTCCCCTGTCTTCTCCCATTAGAAGTTTGACAACAGATGTCTTGTGAGGGCATCTATTCGTTAAAGTGTCTATGATACTTAATGTAGGCCTGGGGCCAGAGAACTTTCAGATTATGATTCAGGCATATGACATGTTCATATATCAAACGAGTGTAATTCACCACCGATACCACATTTTGACGTCATTTATCAATGACATCACAATAGTGGTCTATCAAATAATATAGAATGGCAGAAACTGACATTTATATAATCTATTATTCTTTAATACATTAATGATCACGAAAGTTTGGGCGACTAAATGTCAATAATGCATGCAAGTAAATATATCATGACTAGAAAATGAACGATGATCACAGAACGTTGCTGGGGGGATACATAATTGGAATAAATACTTTAAAAACACAGATATCATCCCGTATCTCCTCCATTCATACCGGTATTGGCAGCACAGGTTACGGGACACATTGTAGATCTGTACACTTAAAAGTCACTAGATAAGAAATAGAGTAACTATTCTCTGGTTGGCTAGGTATAAAGCGTACCAGCTGTTCATTGCAGATGCACGTGTTGTTCTTCACCACTATTAGCTCAGTCTGGAACACAAAGTTACCTTCTCAAACGCTGATTTTAAAGATACATCCGCTGATGTATTATAAGGTTTCGGCCATTATTCAGTTTTAACCGAAGACAAGCTTTCATCTTTATAAATCAAACGTATTATTTGGTGTCGACTTCGGGAGTTTCATGTTAAATCGTGGTTCCTTTTTCTCTATGATCAATATAGATGTCACATCAAGATGCTTTTAATGACATGAAGTACGGGATGTATGCGAGGAACTCAATCTTGGTAACCTGTATGGCTTCACTCTGAAACATTAACGATAGAATATTATATTATTGATCAATGTATAAGTGATCCGATGCTAATGTTAGATATCGTATGCTGCTTACTAGTCAGTGTTAAATCAATGAGAGGCTTTGAAACCAGGTAACATACCAGTCTGCTCTTTTACACGTGTATTTAAAAATATACCATGATTCTTCTCTGTCATAGTTAAAATACCACTTAGGACAAAAGTTCTGTTTAAATAACTCGGTATGTCAACAGAAAAATGTCACCAAATCCAACTTACAGGGTTAACAGTTTCCACGATTTTATCCCAGAGGGCAGTGTCGCTGTGAAGGTCACGTCCTAATACACCATTCAGCACTTCACGTAGGGAATCCAATGATATCTTACCCTTCTGTGACCTGTCCACTGATTGGAATATTTCCTTTAATTAAAAAAACATATTAGATTTTTAAAAACACACTACTATTGACCTCTGCTTTCATATGGTTGTAAATAGTTGTACTGCGATAAAAACCTGTTTTTAAAATAAAGGTTAAACAACACATCAACCATGTACATTGTATTTAAGTAGATCTTTACATGATATAAATCAGTATTACACATTATATATAACACACGATACTCTTCATTTGATCTAAAACCTCCATATATTGTGTGTCTTTAATAAAACTATACTCATAATATATATTTAATGTTTTTAAATGAAATTATGACACAGTTAAAAAAGAATGTGAAAAATAAGATGTCCTTTGTTAGAGATATTATAATTGTGCAGTAGTTTATCGCAGATTGATACAGAAACTGATTGCCCGAATATCTATCAAGATCTGTTTAAAGGTATTATTGGTAGTGTGTGTATATTTGATTGTTATAGATGTGATTAAACACTGCCGGTAACAGGTACTTAAGTATTAGTAACATTTAATCAAACGTCAATTTGAATAATCGTGGCATCCTTTTTATTGAATATATATTAATTTATCATTTACTGACACACAAGAAAAACGTAAACTCCATTTCTGGTAATTTTTTTGTTACTTCGTGTCAATGTATCGTTTAATTTATACAGCCAACTGAAGACACACTTCTATTCTATTAGATACTACAACTTCGAGTTAGCCATCATCATTTTATCAAGAAATCTCAAGGCTGAATAGGTGACAGCCATTGATTCTCCCGACTGCAATGACAAGTATACCCTCGTTAGCATTTGTTGTTGCTGGAATTCTGCGATGTTTAAAGTTTATTGCACTATCTATTAGTGCCAAAGGAATGTTCTGTCACTCTTCCAGAAGTACCTGGTGTAGTACGGAGAGAGTTGCTGGTGGATTTAGGGCGTTCGAATTCTCCGAATTAATATGTCACATACATGCCCAATTGCCGAATGATCTGTTGGGTACCAGGGTAACGTGTCAACATTGTTTTAACAAAGATAGTCCATTGTGTGTTACACCACATGATACTGGTCATGATCTTGTTGAAAAAAATACGTTGTGCTAGTGGATAATTGTCAATGCATCTTTGACATGTCACATTGGTTTCAATGACAACCAAGCGAAAATGCCCCAAAGTTGCCATCGACGTAACACCAGACTCCATATCTCCTACGTCACCTTTCAAATGTGTTCCTTTGCAACAATGGAACCGGGTTCCCTTCTCTAAAGAGTCAAGACTCAGTCTGTACCGTTTAGATGGGCGTCATAGTGATTTTCGACGTCATAGTGAACGTGACAGGTTTGGTGGTGGGACCAGCCTGTCTAATGCGGCTGTGGTGATATTGTGCCCTACGGACAATCAGAGCAATAATGCCGCCACGTTAAGGGTATTGACAGCTGACAGTAACTGCGTTGCCTCGTTGCGTTCATCGACAGTTTGCCTCGATATTCTTTACCCAATGTCAAACGAATTTCAATACCAGACTATTTTTGCTAGATACCTGAAGGATGACAAACAAGTCTGAGAAGCACGGAATACTGCTACATGTACCCATGCACGTGCTAATCGTGTTATATATTTTATTACCAATGTCTCGCGGACGCGGATATGAGAACGCGTAGTTTGGCAGAGTTTAATCAACTGTGAATTTGGATTTGGAATGTGTGTCATATTATACTATTCAAAACTGCTAACCATAGTTTATCACTTTAAAGAATATTGACATTTAATTGGGAGTGTGCTTTTTTTCAGTAAATGTTGAAATGGTAATAATACTTGACCAATTTAGTAATATTTAACGGGGCTATTTTAATCCCTACATACGTAAGTAGGGTTGAAGAGAAACTTTTTTGGTGGAAATTGTGGGTATTGATGTATATTTGGTAACAAAATGATACTTACCACGAAAGCTATTATATCGTCCTTTAAGGTACTAAAATCCAATGTCTGAAATGTGACTTGGAGGGAGGAACTACAAAACATAAACAGAATTTATAATGACAACCAGTCATATTGTAAAAAAGACATTTCTTTGAAAGTAAGTGGATTGATACTCTTTAATTTTGATTAGGAAGGAATCACACAAATGTTTCTTACCTCATATTTGTCACTAGTTTTGTTAGAGAAGACATCAACAGGAATTCATCCACACCGAAGAAAGTATTGGAACTGGTGATGTCGTAAACCTGTAAAAATAACATGTTTTACGTTTCTCAACCAAAACTTTGTAAACTTGATGTTTCATTATTTCAATTCATAGTTCAAATTTTCATTTTGTTTTTTTTTATTTCGATCATTAAAATGTTTCGATTGATTTTGATATACAAATAAAACATTGAATGTAATTTTTAAAGAATCCTTATCATTCTTTTAATAGATTAGTTGTCTATATGAAAAACACGTGAAACGTACCTCCTTCAGGAAGCGCTCCTGTTGTTGGGACATCTGTTTAGGTAACTGTGTTTGTAGTTGGGCATACTTTAAATGTCTGTAAGGAGACATAATGGTTTGGAATATTTATTGGTGGTTAAGGAAAATGATTTAAGTAATTAACACCCCCTTCCACTAAACATTATACCTTGTCTTTGAGTTGGTGTAAATGATTGTTGCATTCTCCTCATCACTATAGTTGTAGATATTCGGATTATCACAAAATAAAGTACGAAAATAATTTGATCTGATTGTAGTATTGTGTTACTGTGTGTATACTTACCCATCAGAATCTGTGTCTAATTTCTTAAATGTTGCATGTAGTTCGCTTCGTTCTGTTTCTGGGATCATCATTGACAATTCACTTCCCTGTTTCGTGCCAACAAAACACAGTCGTAAACACGTTTTCTCCAGCATTGAGAGATTATTTTTACGTAATTTGATCATAAACATTGGTTTCAAACTGTTTCATTTCAATACGATTTGCTGATTCTGCCTTCGTGTGTATGAAATATCATTATTTCTTCCATAGACAATATTTTTCTAGACGAGATTTTAACTTTTAAAAATCTTGATACTGATTCTAGTCTCATGTTTTAAGTAAAATACAAAACAAAGTGTTTTCAGTTGTTTAATATTGGTTTTACTTTTATATCTATTTCATATCATTTTTACTTTGCTTCCGATGATATTGCTAGCACGCGCATCAATTTGAGTTGTACATTTTTTTTCAGAACATCTTCTCACCCGTAAAGGATTTGGCGTGGCGGGCGGTTTAACAGGACTGGCAGTTTTGGAGGTTCTACTTGACATCATCTTTTGACGGTCAGTTAGGTCTTCGTATACCTCCATAGAGGCAGGGTCGTCATGTTCACTGTGAAGAAAAATTAACACCATAAGGGTATTGAAGCATTATATTTATCAAATTAAGCTACAAAAACCAACAAATATTTAGATAAATGGCATGAGTCGTGCAGCTCAGTCACAGACGCTTTTCCAGGTTTATTTATACATGTAAAATAATGTGCTACAATCGGGTATATGTTCCTTATTTTCAAAATCGAGCCTATGAAAATGTGGAGAATCTATCTTGAGTTTTATTAAATCATTTTGCTTTATTCATCTGTAAATTTGATAACTCGTTACAGTAATATGGGGCTCTAGACGTTAGTGTCTAACGTAGTAACTCTAGCCGATTTTGTCAGATTTACGTTATTTTCAATTTGATAACTTACACATTTTCTTTCGCTTCTGGAATCTCCATAGTTCCTGGCTCCGGATTAGTTTCAGGTCGTCCTCCTCGCGACTGAGATATTCTAGGTACGGCACCAGCAGATGGTATATCAACTCGCCTAACATTTTCTGCTTTTGGGGTAACTCTACAAGAGAAATAAGCATTTGATTGATTTTAATCATTGCACAGATTTACTCGGTTGGCCTCTGTATATGTTATTAACTGTGTTTTAAAGGTTGTTTGTGACTTACTTGAGGTCTCTGTCCGGACGACCTTGTACAGATGTGTAACTTCTTGGCATAGCATTATCAAACTTGGACACATTGGTTCGGGATCGGCGCAGGTAAGCTGGCTGTGTACCTACATCGTGATATATTGTTTAGTATATGACATGCAACGTCGTCAGGACAAACGAAACATAAGTTAAGATCACCGTAATTACAAGACATTGCAAGAGTCAGATTGGGTATGTCAGTTAAGCGACAAACATGTTAAAAGGGTTAGAGGGACAAATAGTTTTAAAGTCGTGACAAATACTTCCGATATCAAGCCGTTTGTGTAGATATTGTTCTAACAGATAGCACGTAATTTGTATCGTGTTTTTGCGCCCTGAACTATTTCTTGGTTTAAGGTACGATAATGATAATTTGTAATAAAGAACTTCATACTAGATGAAGCTTGATATCAGAAGAAATGTATGATGAAGACTAGGGAAGAAAGAGTTAAATGTTGTGAATTGTCAGTAGCGCATACTTGCAAGTAAGAAAGTAACACTACAATTATATAAGCATTAATAAAGGATTTGGTGTTAATACACTAGCAGCAAGAGGCAGTTATCGCACATATATAGCTTGTTGTTAGGGTAGTGATGGTGACTGTGGATAACAGCACATTACATCATACCTCAGTACGTCACATGTATCAATCATACTCGGCACACAATACGCCACATACATGTATCAACCATACATTTCACATGACTGGTCGTGCAAATAATGTATACTCACGTGCATTCTGATTCCACAAACAATATAAAAGTCATTACCAAAGTCCCTCTTCCTGATGTACTGATCTGTCAGGCACTCCTCTTCTCTTTTTATCGCGACTTATTTCGAAGTTTTTAAATTACATTCAAGATTTATTTAATTTTAACAATAAAAACTGAAAATGTACATATCTGAATCATTATATGATCATATTTAAAATGTAAACAGATGTAAACTCGTTAAGATCAGAGAAAATGTTATAAGTAGTCTAAATACATTTCTGTGTTATGTAACACACAAGTATATATATGTGTATATGATTAAGAAACATGCACAACATTTCAAAAAGAAATTGAAAGCAAACTTATGAGAGATATTTTATTTGTTGTTTATTTGTTGACAAAACAAAGACAAATCATTTATGTAGGGATCACAGAAGCCAAACATGTGTTGTTATTATTCCTCACACATACTATAACCGGTGTAACTAGTCTAAAAAAAACGCTGTACTCTATCATATCTATTTCCACATTGGAAACTACAAGCCATGATGTTTAATTACTAAACTATTATATCCTTTGCAAAATATAATATTTATGCTAATACAGCACTCCAATATGCGCGTGAATTCTTTTGTCTATATCTAGATTTTCTATTAAGCACCGAATCGTGTTAGATTGTCTATTAAAGTATGCATGAAGAACATGTGCTTACAGGTAAAGTTAGTATTGCGGATTAATTTGGACTGGAGTCCATATGGTTTGCAGAAGATATAGCTACAAGCTTGAAACAGCCATAGGAATAACAGCAACGGCTTGAAAACTGCATTGTTGAGATAGTTTGTCAGAATTTCATTTCTTTAAAGCAGCAGAAATAGTTTTCAAACACAAGAGAGAATTTCAGATTTTCAGGCAATTCTTTTCTATCACTGAAAATTTCTAAGAGACTGACACAACAATGCATTACCAAATGATCTTGTAACACATGCAATAAATTGATAACTATAAAATAAGGACGATGAATATCTTGGTATACTGTTGCGCAAATATCACAGTATCTAAGGAATATTCGATTCTATGCTACCCCAGACCTAAAAACAGCCTTATTAAAGGCCTTGTGCTGCCTCGCTTTAAAGAAAATCTCATGCACTCCCTGAAACAGATCAATTTCTTCCTTGTTACAGAATTACATGCTTTCAATCGAATATATGGATGTCAGTCCAAATTACAGCAACACTACATTTACCAAACAGACACATCGTATCACAACCATCTTACCAAAAAAGGTAGATTCTGTACATGTTCAAGTAAAATGTGGAAAATAAACACAGTTGTTTCATCCTTTTGATCTTTCAACATTAGCACCGTACAAAGAAACGTTTATAAATAAAACAACAATAACATACATGATACTTCTGTAAATATATGAAAATCATACAGTTTTAACAATAAGTACCATAACTGAAATAATAATAGTTCCTCGACCAATCAAAACTCGAGTAACCCTTACGTAATACAGAGAACAATGCTTTGTTATACATTGACAGGTTCAGATTGAACGGCAATTTGGACTCAGGGAATTAAATGATGAGAGAGGGAAAACGATTTTTACTCGAATGAATGAAAACGATATAAAAAAAGGAAAAAAAAAGGAAAATTCATGAATTATGAATAACTTAAATTAAATTCTCTTTGATATATGTTAGTTATGGTTTGAATGGATACAATTTGGTATTTAAGTTTGGTATATACAATGGGTGATATTTCATCGTCTTTAAATTACTGGTATGTGCTCTTGCAGAAAACGAAGACGATGTATGGCAAATCTCTGATAGCAAAACGTAATGCTATTGAATGCTACATTTGACGTCTCTGTGTACCAGAAAGGGTGAGAAAAAAGACACAAGGGGAGCTGAGATATTTGAACTCTTCTGTTCTGATATTGTCAAAATTAATCTGCGTCTACATGTTACATTAACTGTTTTTTTTATATAAATGTATTTTTTTATGAATATTCTTTAAAAAAAAAACCCATTAATCATTAATCGCGATACATATGATATATGTCATATTTGATGTAAAAAATACCTGGGATAGCACTCTGGTGTTGTAAATGATAATGATCAAATAACATGATGACTCAATGTATTGAGATCAAATGTAGAAATGAAAAGCGAAAGACACATGGTATGTGGAATCACATATGTGATATAGCATAACACGTCAAAAATACTGCAATAATACTTTTATACTTATAAACTCTCCTTTGTATGACAACTTGTACTATGAATAAAAACACATAGCTTTAGCGCACCACAGACACTTGTCTGTTTTGTGCTGGACTTTGTTCATTGATGTCTCACAAAATATACTGACGTAATGCCGGGATTTTATGACGTCACACACCGTAGGACAAGTACATGCATGTTGATATAGGAATAAATAGCCTTTGCATATGACGAAAGAAAGTTCATGTCAAATGCAATTATAAAAAAATCTAAGTGAATTGTCTTGTAGAAATTATCTCTCTCATAGAGGAGATTAACGATCATTCACTGTGGAGGATAATAACCACTCACTACGGAGGATAATAGTAACGAGACCAAGCGATACCTTGTCGTAAGATTGGTGTCCAAGGCCCCTCTTCTGAGAACCTGTCTGACTCGCCCAGCATTTGATGCACCCTAACTGATAATGCCTTCTTCCCGCTAGGCACATCGTCTACATTTGAAAGCCAGGAAGTTTTATTACTAAGGTTGCTCAAAATAACATGCGATTTGTTGTATTCTCATTATAACAAAAAGAAAAATAGTTATAAAAAAATTACTACCAAGAATAAGAAATTACACGTAATTTTTAAATGTCTGTATACTTTTTTTATAACTTATTCCATGTTAATAAACATTTTTTATTAATGATACGTTCGCTATGATATCTGTCAGTATATGCATGACATATCGAAAATGTGTTTCTTTCCTTAAAATCGATATAAAACATAAGAACAAAATATGAAAGATTTAACAATAATAGGAGTAAACTCACACATAACTCCAGCATCGACGAAAAAGTGAAACAAATCAGAATTGCCGACAAAATTAAATCGGCAGTAAAGCAGTCCATGTTAATTGCTGCGGCGCAAATACCGAAAGGAAAGGTGTAGCAATCAACGTACTCGTCAAATTTAGAAAAATTCAAAACAAAGTTAAACATCAGCGAATTTACAACAATAACATAGTACTGCACCAATATCAAACACCTTCACTTTCAGCTTCAGGAAATATACAAATACGCCTCACACACAAAAGCCATCCCCCACACAGTATTATTTGTATCCACAGCCTCGGGATTACCAGCTATTATTATAATATAGTATTATATATGCCACACACCAGCAACACAACGGTTTAGAAGTATAGCGCTCAAGCTAACCAGCATGACTCTTTATAAAGTTTGCAAATTTTTGCAAAGGGGAGATAACAATGTCCTCTTTCATGTTTTAGCAGAAATAGTAATCTTTGATATTAAATAATTTTATATAGAATCTTAAAGAAAAGAACAGTAGTCAAAAGATAGAAGTATACATGTGATAAAACATTGAGAATTGTATATTTGGTGAAAATATAGAATAGCATTCGTCGATAATTGTCCGAAAAAAATGTAGAAATATAAATGAATTATAGGGTCATTTGCTACATAATCAAACCTGCAGGTATGCTAATTCTAGCTTTTATTTGATCTACAGTGCGCCTTTCTCTGGCCAGTATGATGGGTGCCGAAGATCCATATCCTGTTTGATGAAAGAAAATTGGATGGAATCGTGTAAGATCATTGTTCAAGGTAAAGTGTGTTTAAATCGTTTGTGCTGGTATGTGAGTGAGTGAGTTTAATATGGCAGAAGTTACTCTGCGTGCAGACGCTCAGATTTTGTTTTGCGTGTCATAGTTGGCAGGGGTCTTAGTTTAGTCACATATTAGTGTGTAAAAATTGATTTTATATACAAAAAATAAATACAGAACATTAACACCATACATACATGAATATTTCATAGAATCATGAATATACAATTTATAATATAATCCACGCTACTATATATATAAACACACATTTCATATATAATAAATAAAATGTCCATCGTCTGAAGTAAATGAAACATATCGGAACAAAAGTTTACCTTGTCCTTATAACACATTAATTAAAATCCACATTTGAAAACGTTTCAGACGTCGGGATCACAGATTATATCAACTCATAACTTCACCGCAAATTTGAAGGATTATTGAAGGATTAAGATAAGTATTCAGAGGATTTCATGCTGGTTGGTTTCTGTAGTGAAATGCATGCTGGATTAATACCATGCGTCAAACAAAACCACAAAATCGGATTTAATTTTGAAGGTTGTAAACTGAACAGGTCGAAGAACGATTATATACCACTAATGTAAACGTCATCTAAGAACACAACAGTCCTGAAACTCTTCTATATCTACTCTAAAACATGCAATCCTACCTTGCCAAGCCTGTAGTTTAGCGTTTCGTGGATGTTCGATTTCCTCAGCCATTCGATATTCCGTATATTAAACTTCCACGATGTCGCATTTTAAACTAAATGTACCTGGTACACTAAATTCCTCATTTCGTTTACAACCCCCATCAACCACGACATGGTCTGTCCATTAATCATTGGTAGATATGTAATGCCAATACGAATGGGGTCTTATATATGGATTGTACATGCCCTATGAAGCTTACTTTATTTATATTGCAATCAGATTTGTGACGTGCGAAAGCATGTAAAAACAGGAAAGCAGAACTCTTTTGTGAATTTATATAGATGTCATATGTCTATTTCTAAAGTCACATTGCATCCCATACTGTCACACATGTTAAGAAATACTCTAAATATTAGATATTTTACTGCTATTCTACTCATGCACTGATATCCTTTTCAAATCAACGTTTCAATAATATTATCAATAACTTTTCATCGAGTTGTACATAATGTTATCCTTAAAGAATCTGTTTAAACCATACGTTGAAGTAGTATTTCCCATATTTTATATACAAAATGTTACACAATTGCAGTACAATACATCCATGATTAAACTAACTAAGATACTTTCCGTCGGTAAGTCTTATTTACTCATTCAGTCGTGTAGAGTATTAGAGTAAGAAAACATCAAACATATATGTTAGTTGACACACTTTGTAAGTCAGGAGGGTTCCATACCCGGACCCGTACACGGCAAGCATGTTAAGTGTCACACGTAAGTATTAAGTATCTGTACCTAACATGGAAGATCTGGTGTTAATTCTCGGCAGATGACCATCATAGCTACGCCGTGTTTTTGTTTTTGATCCCCCCATATCGGGGTCATGAGAATACTTGGAACGTTGAAACGTGCTTCGAGCAGACGAGGTTACTGGAAACGAGACGAAACATTATTTACCAAGACCAGTGGCAAATCTTCTAGCAGAAGAAGCCAATAGACACAGACATGTATTTCTAGGCAAGCGTTAATTTAAAGCTGGACCCGCTACCACATATTATCGTTCCAAGATTGATGCTGATGACATTGGTAGCGTCATACCCTTTACTAGCTATATTGTCGGATACACCAGTATAAATATAAACATCATATGTATATTTTTATACATATGTGATTCATGAAAAGCACAATTGTGTTCTAGACATGTAAAATAGATAAACTTTGATTACGAAGTAAACATTATTGAGATATTTTGCTATGGTGCAAATAAATCTGTTTTGTGTGTGAACAATTTGCTAATTCTTCACACACGAAATAATGGTGATTAAGAAGTATTGTGTGTGATGTTTGGGTGAATGATTGTGTCCGTTACTGGTGCTACTGTTTCACCGTAACCATAATAATATCCATTACCAGAAACACATCAGAAGAAGGCAAGCAAGGAGAAGATATAACTGTTGGATATCTAAAGCTAAAGGGGGAAATGAAGATTGGATGAGAGGTACTGGATTACCAAGACAGGATGGATGAGTTAAAATGACATATGATCAACATATTCCATGGCAAGATCATATAGATAATGTGTACAGATGATAATATAGAACATTAGTTCACAGAAGACATTTGTATCTTAATTGATTCTGTATTTCACAAGGAGTGTTAACATTTCAGAAATAATGGCCAAGACCTATCCATGATGCAACCAAACAATGTTCACTCTGTTGATTTGTTAGTTTAAATTGCTTACATTTCTATGAGCTGGCTCTGACTCGTGCTCAGATATAAACGTAGTAGATACACAAATTAAGATAAACAATTTCTCTTTCATTTCTGAACATAAAATAACTAGGTAGTTTCTTTATATGTATAGTGGTTCTTTACTTGGCCCTCATATTTCGCCGCTAGATGCATTGCATTGCAGAATACTGAGACCACATATGCAGGTTCTTTATTTATTCTACCGTTAAAAACTCCTGTAGCCTTTCTGAATTTATTCCATTACTGAATACTGGGTAAACATATATGACTTTTTCCATCTTTTTTCGTTAATTAAAAAAACCTTGAAAAGTCATATCAAAACATATATAAGTTAATTTTATTAATTCTATCGCTGAATACCGGACACACATTTCCCCGGTTTTTTTTTTCTTTTATTGAATATTGGACCCACATATGCAGTTAGATAGGTCAAGGCCTTTTATCTCCGTTCGATATAAACATGAAATGTATGAACAACTATGATTATAATTCACTTACTGTCCTCGTCACTATCATAATCTATTAAAGGTGGTCTCCGAGGTTTAACAGATGAGTGCTCCCTGGAAATGAATAATATTATCTTATTAGTTGTGAAAAAATAAGATAAAGGTATTGACATCAATGTATATCAGTTATTATTGACGTAAATATTGGAATAAGTTATTTTTTCTATGATTAATGCCAAACAGTACTCAAGATTTCGATTTCTCTATGATAGCTTATACTGTTAGACCAAGGATGAACGAAGTCGGGACTTTTTAACCTGAACTGGCACTTTTACCTGAATATTAAACCTCTTAACAACCTGGTCACTTCGGGTATCCTAGTATCGGATAATTATTTTATTTGTTATGGAGAAAACACTTCCTTCTACATTGATTGTAACCATGCAAAGCCGATACATTTCGAAGTAGTCGCATGCAGAGAAACCTCGCTATCTTTTCTCTTTCTTCACTCTCTCTCTCAAAAAAAAAAAAAAAAAAACCAGTTAATTCTAAGACACTGACTAAGTATTCTATTTTTCTTGTATCATTTATTGAAAATTCAGACTATCGAAATTTAAACAAATTATCAGACATATTTGGTCTTTTAAGTCACTGTATACCGGACATTGACATTGGAAATATAGTTCCAAATGGCAACGGATATAAACACTGAAACAACAAGTCTATGGCATTTAAAACAAATAAAATCGCTAATTTAAAGAATCATTTACATCTTTAAACGTAATATTTAAGTGAATAAGAAAGTAGTTCAGTAGACTTAATGCACGTTCTGAAATACAACTGTTTTTCGTCACTATCGAAAAGAGTCGATCACAAAAATGTGTGAAAAGTGTATTCCGAAAGCGCCAGTTGTAGGGTAAATATCTATAGTAGTATACACCATACAAAAACTACAATAATGTATTGACTTACGTTGGCAGAGGGATTCCCCTTCCATGGTACAAATCTCTGGCGTTTTGAGGCATTATTAGTGATTTCAATTTTTGGATTTCTTTTTGAATGTCGAACCTGTAGTAAAAACAATGTATAATGAACCAATTTTGTATTAAAACAAATGACATTTTAAGAAATGAAATTACCGAATACCTGGATGCCTCACATCGGATATTTCAGTGTTTATTTATCTGTCAATCATATTTTACCTGTAAAAGCTCTATTGTGATATCACTATCTATCCAATAGATATAGCTTCGACATTAACAGGAAAGTGATGTAATTGTAGAATAATTGAATCCCATACCTTTCTACGAATTCCACTTTCTTGCCTCCCATTAAGAGGTCAATCTGCGCTCGGTGTGGTAGCACCTCCCGTCGACGTTTCACGTATCGTAGTCTTTCCATATATTCCAGCTCAGCCCGTAATCTCTCCCTTTGGCTTAAACTACAATGCAGGCAGAATACTTAAAATCGGTGTGTATGGCGAATTTACAGAGAACGAACGCAGATGTAAAATAAATCAAATAACGAAGGAGCTTTTGTAAATTTCTGGATATAATATATGTATGCTGGTGTTTTTAAGTATTAAACAGTATATTAAAATTAGTATTACTTAAGACTTTCGTGCAATACAATTGTATAAAGACGGAGAAAATTATCTGACAAACTTGCAGGTTGAAATGGAACAGGTTCTTGGTTGACTGAACACTATGATTTTAAAAACTAGTATTATTCCAACAATTTTTCTTTTGCTTGTACTCTGTTCAAGAAATAACATTTCAATTTATTGCTCTAAATACTTTAGTTTGACTAGACTTACCCCTCGAACACTTTAGGCGAATCCCACTGTGAAAAGATAAATCATTGTTTGTATTCTATTGTTTAGATTTTTCATTTGAGAGGTTAATGATATCAGAATATCAGCACAACGAAAAACATTATATTCGCTGTATTCATAAAAGTATCAAGAAGTTTATTTCAAAACCCAATGTTCCAAATTTTGTTGAATTATTACTTTAATACTGTTTTAGTCAAATTAAATAAAACCCCACCATATCATATATTAAGATAAACTGTTTAATGACTACCATACACGTACAAACCAGTAGTATTAGCATTGCATCTACATATTACTTGTTCTATGTAAGCTGTATTATATTCCCAGCAAATTCTTTATGCTCTGGCACTCTTGCCCTAGTATGGTGCCGTCTGAATTCGAGCTAAACATCCTCTTTTTATTTACAAACTACATTTGTTCTGTTCAATGCAAACATTAGCGATCACTTGCAGTCATCCGTTTTACTATAATAGAATTCATTAACATCTCTGACATCTGTATTCATCAAATCAATATCGTCTTAGAAAGAAATATTTGATAAAAATGCATTGAACTAGCGAAATAAAGTGTTATGTGACAATTTCAATTATCAGTGAAATGTCTGTTATATGTTAAATCCAAGATTCCGTGCTCTATTAACATTGAAAACTGAATTGACGACATGAACGGTTACTATTTTACATGAATTGTTTTAAAGTTGCTAGTCCATGCCATTTTCACCATCATGAAATAATCATTAGAATTTGGAACGTTAATGAAATCAAAAGGTTTATTATTTCATGAATTGATATTAATGATAGACTAACAGATGAATTAATTACTGTAATTCGGGAACGGCTTTTAGTAAAATTGAGTATCATTATCGCTTGTTTAAAAAAAATTAAGAAAAATACACACTTAACTGAGAATGAGATACATAAGAGCCAGATAATAAGCAAACTGCATCATGCAGGTTTTTAGCATTCATCATTGTACGACCAATCAGTTATGTCCAAAATTTTAAATCTAGGAGAATACTAAAAATCTGAAGTGATCGAAAGAAATGCAAAATAACTCTTAACATTCCCGTTTTACAGTAGAATATGATTGTTTCAAGCAAATCTCACTTAGCAACAACAACAATCACACTTGCTTCCACTGGGAAGCCGTTCGTGTCTACTAGCACAACCCAAATACATCCTCCTTCTCCATGCAGTGTTAGCTACTGCACATGGCTAATTCCATGAAATGGACAAGTCTACCTAGGAAATACCATTAGATTACATCACCACCATTGGATAAAAACTCCGAACAGTGTAACAGTACATACCGAGAAGGGATACAAATACTGCAATCAGATCATGTATAACATGTATGTTTAGTACGAAACATAATGAATCGTTAATTCAGAGGAGCACACATCACAGTAATAGTATAGTCAAATAATACAAAGAAATATTGTGTTAATATATAATATCTTCATATATTTTTCATCCTTAAATGGAAAGAGTTGCTTAGCCGCACGTAATCAGAAGTAGAAAGCAATACGGTAACGCGGCATACACGCTTAGCATGTATAAGAAGCCATACTTACCATGAGAATGAAAATTTAAGCATAGGGATATGTTTTATAATATACATACATAAATATGTTAATACACTACCTGGTCCGAGATGTGTGATTTCGTGTTGAAATTCTGGCATATAGTTAGAACAATGTAATTGGCTGATTGCTATAGATACAATTTTTACGTTTTTATGACAATGTATAGTAGTTTCGATTAACTTGAAAGTAACAAAAGTAGTATAACAAGCCTTTCGTGCACCACTTAATTCTAACAGTGAGCCAATCCAAAAATATTATTCACTTTTTTACCAGAAACGTAAGGTAGAAAATACATACCTACACTGGTATTAGTTATAACATTAGAGTAAAACATGTTATTTAACTAATTCATGGTTATTAAGGTGTGCTTACAAAAGTCTGTGCGGGCGTTATGGAAATCAAAATGACACTTGTCTAATAAATATTTAAAAAAATATTTAAATATTTGAAAATCGATACATAACGAAACGTTGACATAAAACCTGAACACAAACCTGGTATCTGTCTGTGTGAAGTATTATCCCGCGTTTAGCACCCATACTGTATTCATAACCCCCAAAGGAATCCAGATGCCGCTTGGGGATTGGAACCTTCTTCATCGAAGTGGAAGACCTAGAATTAAAGAGGAGAAACCACTTTTAGCGTGCCCCTGATAGAAATTTGTACTGACTTAGAAATAAATTCTACCGAATTGTGTTTGAACAAGTGAATATTGATGCATCAACAGTTTCCGTTCACATCCAATTTCAACGAGTGACTTTTCTTTATTTTCTTTTTAAACACACACAGATATGAACACAAGGATATCAAATATCAGCTGAACCGAAACTCAACCATTTATGATTCTTTCTCAAATATATTGATGTTCTTTTAAATCTTTAAACTTAACATGGTATAATGAACTAGCTTTGGACTACACGAAAGGGATATATTCATCTAGCTATTATTTATAGTACGGCAATTCTTGTTTAAGATAAGGTACAAAATATTAGCCAAATTGAATGCTTCATTGCTTCGTGTAACTTAATTGTATATAAAATGCACTGATACATGCACATCTCAAATCTGCATACTCAGGAGCGTCGTTTAGTAACTTGTATACAAACAAAGTACATGTATTAAGAAAAAAACACTATCATAATTCGTTACAATTCCCAATAAAAAGGGACAGATGATAAATAGTCTGGCCTGGCTATTGCTAATCAGCGATAAATATGTGGTAACCTTGGGTTATATCCCCTGCCTTTCACAGCTATCGAAGGTAGATTGGCTGGTATATAGTGCCCGCCGGTGGTCGTGTGCCGTCAGGTAGATTGGAATTTAATAGACGTTAACAATCAGCGGAGATTTAAATCAGAACGGTCTGACTTTGTCAGATGGAAATTTAAATAATACGTAAACATCATTTATAAAACATATATAGGATTTAATCTGTTAGATATATATTCTCGTTTATAAAATATCATACGAAGAATTTAATCTGTTAGATATATACTTTTGTTTAAATGATAGAACCTTCAGACATGTGGTTATCTTCGTTTAACAAACGAATCAATAAGCATTATTGTATCAATGGTTAGATTTAGTTATTTACATCCAAAGAAAACACACACAAACATTAAGACTTTTTTCTTTGTTTAAAGAATGGCATTTAAATATCAATCAATCGAATGGCAACATTAGAATTAATCAATATCTTGGCACGGATATATGTCTAAAGGCAAACTCATGTGCGTGTCTCCAACGTTACACGCACGATGTTACACAGTAGGTTAGATCACAGGTAAAGTAAATAATATCAGTAGTGAGTCTCCGAAACGCAGAAAGAACAAAAGGACACCTAATGATCACATCAGTGATCAGGATATTGTAACAGAAATAGCGATGGTTGACGTCGAGCATGCATTTCACAATAAAGAATAACAACGCATTATGAGCTATGTACTTGTCCCGATACTTACTCCGCAGCAGCACCTCCACCACCTCCGTAGCCCTTAGCCTGTGGTGCCATATTCCTGATATCGAGAAGTTGCACGTGAAGGTTTGGAAAACAAGTGATTTCACCCAGGATTTTTGTTAATTCAGGATATGAGGAGAAGATTTTGATTTTCAGATATTTTGAAATTAGAACGGATATGAAGGCCGTGAAAAATAAAAATATGTTTTTGTGAAAATCTACTATTAATAAAATCACAAAAAGCCTGAAAAACCAAATGTTCGGAGTATCGCAATAACATTCATTCTTGTTAGATTTATTACTCATATATTTGTAAATGAGAGAAATATAAACATGTATGCGACTAATCTTACATGAAATAGATTTACTTCAAGGTCAAAGGTAGTCATCACACTACCCCGTGCTAATTAGCCTTGTTTATCTGATACGGACAGTGTGCGTTTTGTAGAATGCTATAACATGATCTTATCGTTATTTTTCTCACATTGCCTTCTGTTTAGAATCTTGATAGAACACCTATAAACTCCAGCCCTGATACTTGAATTGTTATGCTTTATCTACAATATAATCTATAAGATCATAACAAACCCTCAAATTCATTTGTTTGAATAATACGAGAAAAAACAATGTGTATTCCGAATTAACTCAACGCATTGTATGTAAAACCAACCTACTCTGGCGGTTTGCCAACAACATAAACAAAGTAAGATCCTATCTGTCCACCGGGGTTAGGTTTCTTAATTAAGACGTCCTATATAGGAGTGTGCAATTATAATGTGTCTCGCGTGTGACCTACCTTCCATACATATGGACTCATCAATAGGTAATTTTGATTTATTGTCGCAGATGTTAAACAAATCAAATAACGATTTTTTTTTCGAGCTTTTGTAAATTTTGATATGGATATAATATGTGTATGCTGGGTTTTTAAACTATTAAACAATATATATTAATTTAGTCTTAATTAAGACTTCCGTGCAAAACAACTGTATAAAGACGGAAAAAATGCATCATTGAATTAAACAAGAAAATTCTTTTACAAACTTACATGAAATTTTGAGGTTGAAATGGTACAGGTTCTGGGTTGACTGAAAAATCTCCGTCATCTGGTAATTTTGGTCGACTTCCGGTGTTGAAAGACATATGCCGGAGCTACAAAAAGAAAATTTCTTTAGAAATAAGATTTGTGTTTAGGCTAGGTATATCCTTTTATTGAAAATATGTATAATCATCAAAGGTAAAGCAACTTTTTCAAGAAGCTAAACGCACCATCACCAGCTGAGGAACATCCAAACAAATTTCCAAACCTTAAATAACCTTGGTCTACTTCCACTTCTGGAAACCTTGGAAAGAATACAAGTAATCAGTTAGTAAAATGATAGGAAACAGGAAGAGCTAACTATTCAGCACAAAAATGAATTGTTGACACCATCTAAAGAATTACCATTATATAGTAAAATTCAACATTAATGTGCGCTGGAGGAAACATTGAGGCGTAATTTACAATTAACTGGATGACGTTAATAACAAAAGATAACAAAATGCTTACATAGGTAGCTGTCCATATTTTCGGAACAACCATGTTGCTAAGGTCAAGTCTTATCTTTTTGAAATTGATATCCTGATAAAGTATCCCATGTATCGTTTTTGAGATGTAGCAGTCTTTGAAATTGTCAACGGAAGCAAGGTTATTGATTCAACATTCGCTATCGAACTAAGTTCATTTAAAACAAAGCCCCTAGAACTAATTGTGCAGCTACATATGACAGTATAGAATTGAATGCCGTCAGAAAATGATACGTCTGGGGCGGTATAGGTCATAGAAATAACACAACTAGCCTGGACTTTTAATCTCTGTGTTTACTTAAAGTGACAAAGTAGGAATGCAATCGATTTGATGTGTTTGAAGACCTCATTTGTCGATATGTGACTATATAAAACACATACCTTTTTCCAATGCGCAACTAGTTCGTAAGGACACAAAATCAATCACAGACTACTACAGTTTAAGTTAGTATTGAGTGGTGTCTTCGTATAGTTTAAAGTAATGGGACACAGGATTTACAAATGTTATTGGCACTGCTTAGTTACAAAAATATCTAACTAAGAAAACTGACACCAAAATCAGACATGACATGGAAACTATGACCACGTAAACATAATGTTTAATCATTATGAAACTATTGGGTTAGTAAGATATTATTCACACACATTAAAAGGTATCAATCAACATTGATGGTGACCACAAAATCTAAATTGTCAGTCCCTAAATCCGAGCTACAAATGTCACGAACATACTACCTCTTCGTTCTTCACACCCAGTCCATCCTGATGGATAATGATAGAAATAATATTATTAATCAGAACCAAGTTGGGCCCGAATCATATCGTTCTTGTCGAGATCACGCCATTACAATTAAACTTACTAATAGTTATGCATATGATACTTTCTCAAAACTGTTATGGTTCAGAACATCCACTTCTGCTTAACAATTTCAACACTAAAATCTAACAATGACGTTAGATTTTGAGCTCCAATGCATGTTATTGGTATTTTATTTCTAGGTGTCATTTGTTGAATATCGGTGAAAAAACACTCATTGCCTATGATACAATACAGCTGTACAGGTTAAAATTTGTGATTTGTGTTTTCATAATTGTTTCAAGTTGATAAACATTATGTACTGTATACACTGCTGCCAGTATACATTGACACAGACGTGACTACCTCAGATATTTGTGTGTTTTTTTTTAAATGTGTAAATCTATATACTTTAAACAAATATTAAAGATAGTCTAATTTGTGAGCATAATGTATAGGGTCAGGATAACACACTCTGTACCAGAAAAAAACTTCCTTTTTGATCAGGCTGTAATAGTTTCGGCAGTGTTTTGGATGTCATTCGGGGACAGACATCATGAGCTCGTGGTTAAGACAGAAAACATGAATATTTACATTATATCCTTTCACGTCTAAATATAAAGTACTGCAGGAATACATTTTTCTTCAAACATTTTTGTAGATTTTCCGATTTAAACTTGTCAATGATGTTCGGAAATGGAATTGAAAAAAATCATGAGAAAGGGGATAAAATGCTTTCCAACACGCGTACTATATTTAAGAATTATTGAATACCTAGTAAAAACGTCCGGATAGTAGTTATATTCATGACCAACGAAAACACACGACAACTACCGACCATATCTAAAAATGTCATTTGTTAAATATCTGTAATAATACCAAAAGTCCTACTTATATCTCCTCTCTCTTCCATTATAATAACACGTTTAGAAGGTTATTGACGAAATGATGTTACTTTGGTTGAATGTCTTCATATAAGAAATGTTAAAAGAGATATTTCTTGAGATAAATGCATCAGGCCGTGACTATATCCAATCATTGACCAAAGTTTTGTGGGACTATGGTAAACTATAAAAATCTCCATCAAAACGTATGAAATTATATAATCTACCTTATATAACATTAACAGATAAAGAATATACAATTTCTACAGAAATATTTTATATAAGGTAATATACCGGCGTGTCTGGAGTCTTCATTTTGGTGCCCTCCAGGATAAACGCTGTAATTGGCCCTAAAGGACTCGTAGGGCTCGGATACAGGTCCTGGAGGGACAATCCGTAGTCCTCCATCATTACAACCACAGTTAAGTCCTCATAGGGTCATGTTCAATATCCATTTTGAATATCTATATCACACGCAAATCACTAGCAAAGCTACAGCAGAGTTACGCCATGTTGTCCTTCATTGTAGATCTATAAGTTTGGAGTCTCATTGCCTATAGAGACAGCCTGACAGGAACCTGTGCCCATACGTCATTGTTGAATTGTTGGATACCTACGCCCAACTTTAAGCCCTTATTCTTTATTATTCTATTTAACATATTAAGATACAAAGAGTTAATAGCGATTGTCAGTAGGAACAGTAACCTGATCTACGGTGCTATTGGATCTGCTTGGCCTAGGTCGGGCCGTTCGCTGATGCATGACAACGGTCCGCTGTGTTCCTATGACTGACGCTATTCCAATAGAGGTCGGTGCTATATAATGGTCCGGTGTTGAAATCGGCCTGTGGATCCGGGTGAAGATTCGGATCTTACCTCTCTTGCGTCCAATATAACATTCTGTCTGCGCCATTTTCTATCAGATATGAATAAGCAGTTCAGTGTATTAGATACTTGTGTACTAGCCCAGAATATCACTCCTCTACAGTCTGTATCCTAAAGCACGATGTGTCCAACTTGTGTGGACTCTCAGACATAGTTCACAGCCTAGAGTTCTTGTTACAGTACATTTCTACCCTAGGAAGTGGTATATATCATTCTATATGTGAATACCATCAATCTGGGAGGTGGTGTGAATGCCAGGCCTTGTCGATAAAGTCAGACTAATGACTGGAGTATAACACGACCGCCTGTGCAGCAGTCTTATAAATGTTTCTTTATCAACATTGCTTGTGAATGTAACAGCTACTTACGTCTACTATCCTATTCGTATACCCAGAAATACATTAATTCTAGTCGTACAAACCGCAAACGTGTATTCCCGCCAGCTGGTTGTACGTTCAGTGTTCCTTTCATACTTGGAAGGGGGTCACTGATATGTGACACTTGAAACAATTATAGAAGTTATATAATTTATCTTTGTTAATAGAAATCAATTTATAGATATTCCTTGTTAATTACGATTTTGTCTTTTTATTGGTCAGGACATTTATTAAATAAAAACAGTTAAAAATACTTAAAATGAAGACGCGAACATTCAACCAGGTCGGACTTTTGAGACTTGTCATGGGAGTTGATCAAGTTTGTAATTACGTCCGTTAGATAGGAGTCTATGGTAAATGTAAGTCTATAATTACAGACAGAAATGACAGATTATTTATCCAGTGTATACCAGTAGGTAACTCAGACAATACGATCAAGGTCATTCACTTGTAGAAGTTAATACTCAGTCAAGATATTCTTTGTCCTTTTAAGTTAGACTGCAATTAGAAAAGAACCAAGTGACCTGACCATACTCAGAGGAATAGGTGTCATATACCTCTTTGACAGTATTTTAACGGGGACCGTGGTTTCTCAGTCAGTAGGGCGCTTGAGAAGGCAACCTCGAGTGAAGAACTCCAGTTTGTGGCTCAACGCTCCTTAACCGTGGTAGATTGTATTTCTCGGGAAGCAGAGAGACTGACTGTATTTGTAGTCATGTTTGTGTCCTTTGGTCAAACATGCATCAATTCGAAACCAAATCGAACATTTGACAAATAAGAAATATGATACTGTTTGCAGACTAAGATCAAATAATTTATACTTTGTTTCTTCCCAACTTTACAACTGATCACAAGAATCGGATTCACTAAATACGGGGTTTTATTGGCTTTATATTACAGTATTAGCTGCTGGTGAAAACTCTTGCGAATTTATATTGAAGATCCCCAGTTAAGATGTTTTAGACGACACCATAGATTGATGAAAATAAAGAATTTGCTCTGAAAGAGAAGCTTATTGAAGATTATGACAGCTGTAATGGAGTTTGATGGTTGCTTTGTGGAAGCAATGGATGCATCTGCATAAACTCATATAGTTGTGTAAAACTCAACTGAAATGTCAAAAGAAATGTTTAATTACTTCAAACAATTAAGGACGGTGGTTGGATGATGACCTTTAGTTAGTATAAGTGAACATCCCCTTTTAAAGTCAATAGACCCATGTATTCGCCTCAGAATTATAATCGAACTATCTCCCCACGTACAGAATTAAATCAGAATCAGGCTTAATTCATGTAAAGATACCGGGATCTGATATCAAACAAAAAACTCAAAAAAAAAAAAAAAAAAAAAAAACATAAAAAGAAATTCTAATTAACATGACAAAAATACAACAACTGTTTTGGAATTAAATGTAGATAGTTAATCCGTATCGTGTTGGATAAACCAACGATGTTGCATGCGTTCTGTCACGCATGGCGACAGGGTGTGTCGATATGTAAATTAGCCGGATAATTTATGAGATAAACATCCCTCTTAGCGAAATTTCCAAGTATATATGAATGATTTCTAAGTAAACACTTCGTTTAGTATGCAGGTGTTTATTTCATATTCAATAATCCTATTTGCATCAATTAAGATTCATCGA